TGTCGTGTGTGGTATGAATACAAGTTGTGTTGTGTGTGGTATAAATACAAGTTGTGTTGTGTGTGGTATAAATACAAGTTGTATTTTGTGTGGTATGAATACAAGTTGTGTTGTGTGTGGTATGAATACAAGTTGTGTTGTGTGTTGTATGAATACAAGTTGTGTTGTGTGTGGTATGAATACAAGTTGTGTTGTGTTTGTGGTATGAATACAAAAGGTTGGTATGAATACAAGTTGTATTTTGTGTGGTATGAATACAAGTTGTGTTGTGTGTGGTATGAATACAAGATGTGTTGTGTGTGTGGTATGAATACAAGTTGTGTTGTGTGTGTGGTATAAATACAAGTTGTATTTTGAGTGAATACAAGTATGATGAATACAAGTTGTGTTGTGTGTGGTATGAATACAAGTTGTGTGTGTATGAATACAAGTTGTGTTGTTAATACAAGTGTGGTATGAATACAAGTTGTGTTGTCTGTGTGGTATGAATACAATTTGTGTTTGTGTGGGTATGAATACAAGTTGTGTGTGTGTGTTGTGTGTGGGTATGAATACAAGTTGTGTGTTATCTATGAATACAAGTTGTGTTATGTGTGGTATGAATACAAGTTGTGTTGTGTGTGGTATGAATACAAGTTGTGTTGTGTGTGGTATGAATACAAGTTGTGTTATCTGTGGTATGAATACAAGTTGTGTTATCTCTGGTATGAATACAAGTTGTGTTATCTGTGGTATGAATACAAGTTGTGTTGTGTGTGTATGAATACAAAGTTGTATTTTTGTGTGGTATGAATTCAAGTTGTGTTGTGTTGTGTGGTATGAATACAAGTTGTGTTGTGTGTACAAAGTATGAATACAAGTTGTGTTGTATGAATGTTGGTATATGAATACAAGTTGTGTTGTATGGTGGTATAAATACAAGTTGTGTTGTGTGTGGTATGAATACAAGTTGTGTTGTGTGTGGTATGAATACAAGTTGTGTTGTGTGTGGTATGAATACAAGTTGTGTTGTAACTGTTATGAATACAAGTTGTGTTGTGTGTGGTATGAATACAAGTTGTGTTGTAACTGTTGTGGTATGAATACAAGTTGTGTTATCTTGTGTTGTGTATATGAATACAAGTTGTGTTGTGTGTGGTATGAATACAAGTTGTGTTGTGTGTATGGTATGAATACAAGTTGTGTTGTTGTGTGTGGTATGAATACAAGTTGTGTGTTGTAAATACAAGTTGTGTTGTTGTTATGAATACAAGTTGTGTTGTGTGTGGTATGAATACAAGTTGTGTTGTGTCTGGTATGAATACAAGTTGTGTTATCTGTGGTATGAATACAAGTTGTGTTGTGTGTGGTATGAATACAAGTTGTGTTGTGTGTGGTATGAATACAAGTTGTGTTGTGTGTGGTATGAATACAAGTTGTGTTATGTGTGGTATGAATACAAGTTGTGTTGTGTGTGGTATGAATACAAGTTGTGTTGTGTGTGGTATGAATACAAGTTGTGTTGTGTGTGGTATGAATACAAGTTGTGTTGTATCTGGTATGAATACAATTTGTGTTATCTGTGGTACATGTATTTGTCTTGCTCGTGTTTTGATATTGATTTCGTATTGTTGCTTGTTTTATGCATGGCATCTACGACATTTGTATTTTATCACTTGTGTGCTATCGGTGCTCTGTTTGCCGTCATCTCTGGAATTTATGTTACTTATTACCATTAATTATCTCATTGGTTAAATATATATGTAACTCGAGGAGCCAAAGACGTTGGTATCTTCCTCAGTCTACCTGCTTGGTGTCATACAATCCATGTGTGAGAAACTGGTGTCTCCCACAGTCTACCTAAGAACTTGGTGTCATACAATCCATGTATAAGAAGCTTGTGTCTCCCACAATCTACCTGCTTAGAGTCATACAATCCAAGTGTGAGTACCTGGTGTCTCCCACAGTCTACCTGCTTGGTGTCATACAATCCATGTGTCAGTACCTGGTATCTCCAGCCGTCTACCTGCTTGGTGTCATGCAATTTATGTGTGAGTTCCTTGTGTCTCCCGCAGTCTACCTAAGAATTTGGTGTCACACAATCCATGTGTGAGTTCCTGCTGTCTCCCACAGTCTACCTGCTTGGTGTCATACAATCCATGTGTGAGAAACTGGTGTCTCCCACAGTCTACCTAAGAACTTGGTGTCATACAATCCATGTATAAGAAGCTGGTGTCTCCCACAATCTACCTGCTTAGAGTCATACAATCCATGTGTGAGTACCTGGTCTCTCCCGCCATCTGCCTGCTTGGTGTCATACAATCCATGTGTGAGTACCTGGTGTATCCCGCAGACTGCCTGCTTGTGTCATACAATCCATGTGTGAGTACCTGGTGTATCCCGCAGTCTACCTGTTTGGTGTCATACAATCCATGTGTGAGTACCTGGTGTATCCCGCAGACTGCCTGCTTGTGTCGTCAACCATAATACCTGGTGTGTCCCGCAGTCTGCCTGCTTGTGTCATAGAACCTATGTGAGTACTGCCTCCCACAGACTGCCTTTGGTGTCATAGAACCTATGTGTGAGTACCTGGTGTCTCCCGCAGACTGCCTGCTTGGTGTCATACAATCCATGTGTGAGTACCTGGTGTCTCCCGCAGACTGCCTGCTTGTGTCATACAATCCATGTGTGAGTACCTGGTGTCTCCCGCAGACTGCCTGCTTGTGTCATACAACCCATGTGTGAGTACCTGGTGTCTCCCGCAGACTGCCTGCTTGTGTCATACAAATCGTGTGTCTCCTGCAGACTGCCTGCTTGGTGTCATACAATCGATGTGTGAGTACCTGGTGTCTCCCGCAGACTGCCTGCTTGGTGTCATACAACCTATGTGTGAGTACCTGGTGTCTCCCGCAGACTGCCTGCTTGTGTCATACAATCTATGTGTGAGTACCTGGTGTCTCCCGCAGACTGCCTGCTTGGTGTCATACAACCTATGTGTGAGTACCTGGTGTCTCCCGCAGACTGCCTGCTTGGTGTCATACAATCCATGTGTGAGTACCTGGTGTCTCCCGCAGACTGCCTGCTTGTGTCATAGAACCTATGTGTGAGTACCTGGTGTCTCCCGCAGACTGCCTGCTTGTGTCATACAATCCATGTGTGAGTACCTGGTGTCTCCCGCAGACTGCCTGCTTGTGTCATACAATCCATGTGTGAGTACCTGGTGTCTCCCGCAGACTGCCTGCTTGGTGTCATACAATCCATGTGTGAGTACCTGGTGTTTTCCGCAGACTGCCTGCTTGTGTCATACAACCTATGTGTGAGTACCTGGTGTCTTCCGCAGACTGCCTGCTTGGTGTCATACAATCCATGTGTGAGTACCTGGTGTCTCCCGCAGACTGCCTGCTTGTGTCATACAACCTATGTGTGAGTACCTGGTGTCTCCCGCAGACTGCCTGCTTGTGTCATACAACCTATGTGTGAGTACCTGGTGTCTCCCGCAGACTGCCTGCTTGTGTCATACAATCCATGTGTGAGTACCTGGTGTCTCCCGCAGACTGCCTGCTTGGTGTCATACAACCTATGTGTGAGTACCTGGTGTCTCCCGCAGACTGCCTGCTTGTGTTATACAATCCATGTGTGAGTACCTGGTGTCTCTCCGCAGACTGCCTGCTTGTGTCATACAATCCATGTGTGAGTACCTGGTGTCTCCCGCAGACTGCCTGCTTGGTGTCATACAATCCATGTGTGAGTACCTGGTGTCTCCCGCAGTCTGCCTGCTTGGTGTCATACAACCTATGTGTGAGTACCTGGTGTCTCCCGCAGACTGCCTGCTTGGTGTCATACAATCCATGTGTGAGTACCTGGTGTCTCCCGCAGACTGCCTGCTTGGTGTCATACAACCATGTGTGAGTACCTGGTGTCTCCCGCAGACTGCCTGCTTGTGTCATACAATCCATGTGTGAGTACCTGGTGTCTCCCGCAGACTGCCTGCTTGTGTCATACAACCTATGTGTGAGTACCTGGTGTCTCCCGCAGTCTGCCTGCTTGGTGTCATACAATCCATGTGTGAGTACCTAGTGTCTTCCGCAGTCTGCCTGCTTGGTGTTATACAATCCATGTGTGAGTACCTGGTGTCTTCCGCAGTCTACCTGCTTGGTGTCATACAATCCATGTGTCAGTACCTGGTGTCTCACACCGTCTGCCTGCTTGGTGTCATACAATCGATGGGTGAGTACCTAGTGTCTCCCGCAGTTTACCTGCTTGGTGTTATACAATCCATGTGTGAGTACCTAGTGTCTCCCGCAGTCTACCTGCTTGGTGTCATACAATCCATGTGTGAGTACCTGGTGTCTTCCGCAGTCTACCTGCTTGGTGTCATACAATCCATGTGTTAGTACCTGGTGTCTTCCGCAGTCTACCTGCTTGGTGTCATACAATCCATGTGAGAGTACCTGGTGTCTCACACCGTCTGCCTGCTTGGTGTCATACAATCGATGGGTGAGTACCTAGTGTCTCCCGCAGTGTACCTGCTTGGTGTCATACAATCCGTGTGTGAGTACCTGGTGTCTCCCGCAGTGTACCTGCTTGGTTTCATACAATCCACGTGCGAGTACCTGATAAGCTATAATAGATAAGCTATACCTCACGTCTGATTTAATCAGATGATTAATTTTCAATGTTCCCATCAGGTGGCTGGCTATCCACCCCCAGATGTGACGCTATATGATATTCAGAGATCGGTTGATACAAACACAAACTCGTCTGTCCAGCCTGGTTGATATCACTCCATAAGTTGTCTATCGTTACTTTAGTCTATGTCGTTACTGCCCGCATCAGGATAACAATTAATGGTCGCTGGTAGTTTCTTTGATCTGTTCACCTCATAATTACCAGAAAATGATTCACAAATCAAATCATTATTCTGCGAGGTGTATTATCAGATTGTCCTTAGTTCATGTTATTTATGCGCCGGCATCGTTCCATACGCCCCGTGAAATGACAATTTTAAGGTCACGTGATAACGTCCGTCTGGTATGAGGACTTAAAAGCGCCTGCGCAAGTCAACACCTACACTTGTGAACACACAGCTGTCATTAGAGTCTTCCTGCAGATTGTTGACAATATAACAATGGCCGATGTTGGCAAGCTTGAGGACAACTTCAAGGAGTACAACGATGCCTCTATTTTCACACAAGTCATGAGACGATTTGCCCTGGGTTTGCGAGAGTTGGTGCTGCTTGTCGTCGTCGCTGGTGTTGTGCTAATGTGTGTGGTGTTTGTCATTATGTTTGCCGTTACGAAGTCTGACGAGGTCGCAGCTCGGGTGGAAGCACAGAAAGGGCGCCAGTTTGACAACACGTGTTTCACTAAATCATGCCTTGATGCTACTAGCTACGCCCTCGACAACATGAACTTCACCGTCAACCCCTGTGACAACTTCTACGAGTACGCCTGTGGTAACTACCGTCGTAAACGCCCCTTAAACGCCGTCGACAAGGACCATAGTCCCCTCCGGGATTTATTCTACAGGAACCGGCAGAAGCTGCGGACACTTCTGGAGGCTCCAGTCAAGCGGAACACGGACTGGGCATCAGAGAGGAAGCTGAAGCACCTGTTCCAGTCGTGCATGGATGACTTCACCCTCGAGCAGTTGAAGGGACGCCGTTCCTGGAGCAGGTTCTGAAGCCTATCGGGGGATGGTATGTCCTCGGTACGTGGGAAGCTTCGACCTGGAATCTGAACGGGCTCTTGAAGAAGGTGCAGTCTGACTTCTGGGTGGATGCTCTGTGGGCTCCGAGAGTAGGGCAAGATTGGAATGAACCTAAAGAAAGATCGATTGAGGTACGAATAATGAACAATAACAGATATAGTTGTTGCTACAGAACATAGGTGAGAAGGTGCAGGGGCTAGTTGATGTATGGTTACCATGCATGTTGAATCCAATTACCACCAGTACTAGTTTAACAGCAGGAAATGTTTATTGTTGTTTTGTTTTGGCAGCTGATCTAGTTGAAATATTTATTTAAGAATGCATTATATATCACAGATAGGACATCATACCCTGACCTTGTCTCTCTTTATGTTGACTTTTCCAGATCTACCCTGCTGGGACTGGGATGTATATGAGATGGTATTACTACACCGACCCCAGTGCCGTGAAGGTATAGTTGTCACTGCTGTTGTTTATTTAGAGATACCTGTAAACTAAGCCATGGCTTGGAGTATCAGGCTGGGAACTGTAAGGTTGAATGTCACCTTACCCGCTATCATTCAGTTTGGCTGGTCCGGAGCAGATGTTTTCTTGATACCGTCTTCATATGGTTCACGGAACAACCATGGATCAATCTTATTGTTTATGTCCTTGTTTCTATTTTTGCTGTCTAGGGGTGTCCCTGACCTAGTGTTGCTATGATTGTTATTATCAGTGTTTATTATTCTGTGAAAGTAGAAAAGCAAACTATGGACTGGAACATACTTGGGGAGGTTTAAGAGGAGATGTAGATGCACAATGTCTTTCAGATCCAGAACGACTACAAAAAGTTTATGCGGCGTGTGGCGAACTTGATAATCAGGGACTCCAACATCACACTGTCTGTCCAGACACAGCAGGATAGAGTGGACCAGTTCGTCACAGACGCCTTCAGCGTGGAGACACACATAGCACGGGTGGGTACAGAAGCTAGCATATCTGCAGCAGTGAGGAGATGGCAGGGTCTCATTTGAAGCAAGTGATTGGTAAGAGTGGAAGAGTCAGAACACTTTCCACCAATAAACACTCAGTATAGGAGGAACTTTATCCGATAAACAGGCTCAGACGTGGATCTCGGACTCCTTCAACACAGTTGTGGTCCATTTCCTTAGCTGCCTCGTGTTGACGTGTACAACAATAACTTCCTTTACTATGTTAACTACACTGCAGGACCTCAGGGCTAGAACTGACCCCAAGCAGTCCATGTTGGTGGTGCGAAGCGACCTAATGGTGGTCAAGCTCCCTGTGGAGGTGGACTGTTGTTCACGATATCAGTCACTGGATTGTCTGGTTCAAACTTAAATATTTTCAGACATTCTTCATATTGCTGGGAAATTGCTGAGTGTGGCCTTAAGCAAAAACCTACAAACTGAATGGCCTGTGACTTGAGAGTAGTATATTCCCTGCGTAAAGACAGCTGCTAGCTACGTCTACACTGTGGTTAACGTTGTTGCAGATTGCGTCAGGGACGCAGTGGACATCGAACCCCTACCATGACACCAACAAGATCTCGCTGGACGACCTCACCACCAGAACAAGGAACGTGGTAAGCCGTCATCACGAAATGCCATATTGGAATCTCTTCCTGTCACGTGACTGTAACACGATTGTAGTCAAGACCTTCTTATCAAGGATGACAGATTTGTTTTGGTATTTTAGCCTTTTATCTGACATATAAATAGCTTATATTCATCTCCTGTTAATCCTTCATAAACGTACAAATATAAGTGTGTCTCAAGTTGAACGAAGTACACGTGGCGGGATATGGAGGAAACGGATTCCCCTGAAGTATGGGTATTCCGGCAATTCGTGTCTTAATCTGAATATAGTCGGCGTTCTTCATCTCCCGGGGATTAAGTATTTATTTTTGCGCGTCTTTTAACCATGGGCGTGCTTTCCCCAAAATGAAAGTAGAAATTTACATGACGGATGTTGCACGGATGTGGGGCTTGTCAAGGTAGATTAGGCATAACAAGACCGAATGTTTCTTCCATGAGAAAGGTGTCTTAATAGTACGTTGTCCCCCAAGAACATAATGTAGTTAAATACCAACATTCCGGTTGAGCGTTCGTCAATCATGCGGATATCTTTGTCAAAACAACAACCCGCGCTGTCGCCTCCCCAAACATCGTTGAGAAGTAGGAAGTAAACGTCGCTAGTACATGAACTGCTACTAGTTACTTCTCACCTGATGTCCCTTTATAGACATTCTCACTACGTCACTCATCAAAGCTAGAAATGTTTTTTGGGCTCATTTTCTTTGTTACTGGGTCCAATGTTACATAATGACTTGTGACATTTTGGTTTGTTGTTTGTTCTTACAGATTGACTGGAAACAACAGATGACGTATCTCTTCAACGACGCCGGGGTGACCGGCAGCACTAAAGTTGCCGTGTACAACTTCAACTACCTCTCACACATAGCTGACGTGATCAACAACATCAGCCAGGCTGACAGAGCTCGGTAAGGGCATGTAACGTCCCCTCAATACACTGTGTATAGTGGGCTGACAGAGCTCGGTAAGGGCATGTAACGTCCCCTCAATACACTGTGTATAGTGGGCTGACAGAGCTCGGTAAGGGCATGTAACGTCCCCTCAATACACCGTGTATAGCAGGCTGACAGAGCTCGGTAAGGGCATGTAACGTCCCCTCAATACACTGTGTATAGCGGGCTGACAGAGCTCGGTAAGGGCATGTAACGTCCCCTCAATACACTGTGTATAGCGGGCTGACAGAGCTCGGTAAGGGCATGTAACGTCCCCTCAATACACTGTGTATAGCGGGCTGACAGAGCAAGGTAAGGACATGTAACGTCCCCTCAATACACTGTGTATAGCGGGCTGACAGAGCTCGGTAAGGACATGTAACGTCCTCTCAATACACTGTGTATAGCGGGCTGACAGAGCTCGGTAAGGGCATGTAACGTCCCCTCAATACACTGTGTATAGCGGGCTGACAGAGCTCGGTAAGGGCATGTAACGTCCTTTCAATACACTGTGTATAGTATGACAGAGCGGTAAGGGCTGTAACGTCCTCTCACAGCCGTGTATAGTGGTGACAGAGCACGGTGTGTAACGTCCCTCTCAATACACTGTGTATAGCGGGCTGACAGAGCTCGGTAAGGGCATGTAACGTCCTTTCAATACACTGTGTATAGTGGGCTGACAGAGCACGGTAAGGGCATGTAACGTCCCCTCAATACACTGTGTATAGCGGGCTGACAGAGCACGGTAAGGGCATGTAACGTCCCCTCAATACACTGTGTATAGCAGGCTGACAGAGCAAGGTAAGGGCATGTAACGTCCCCTCAATACACTGTGTATAGCGGGCTGACAGAGCTCGGTAAGGGCATGTAACGTCCCCTCAATACACTGTGTATAGCGGGCTGACACAGCAAGGTAAGGGCATCTAACGTCCCCTCAATACACTGTGTATAGCGGGCTGACAGAGCAAGGTAAGGACATGTAACGTCCCCTCAATACACTGTGTATAGCAGGCTGACAAAGCAAGGTAAGGGCATGTAACGTCCCCTCAATACACTGTGTATAGCGGGCTGACAGAGCAAGGTAAGGGCATGTAACGTCCCCTCCATACACTGTGTATAGCAGGCTGACAGAGCTCAGTAAGGACATGTAACGTCCCCTCCATACACTGTGTATAGCAGGCTGAGAGAGCTTATAACATACAATCCTGATAAAACGGAGGCAATCTTTTTCTCCTTGCAAAAGAATGTTGATGCACTAAATCTCTACTTTAGCGGGGTTTGTGTCAAAACAGTTAATAATCATAAACATTTGGGATTAACATTTTCAAAAGATTGTAAATGGTCTGACCATATTGATAATAATGTAAAAATAACTTCAAAAATGATATCTTCTCTACGTAAACTCAAATTTTTATTACCGCGCTCTGTATTGAATAGAATGTACGTAATGTTCATAAGACCCCATTTCGAATATGCGTGTGAAGTATGGGGATGGATGTGCTCAATATCAAGCAAATAAATTAGAACAACTGTAATTAGAAGCAGCAAGAATTGTAACAGGTTTACCTAAATATACTCATCATGAACATCTGTATTATGAAACTGGTTGGGAATCTTTTAGCAGAACGTAGGAGAAAGCGTAAACTTCGCCTTTTTTGCAAAATACAGAATAATATGGCACCATCGTACCTTATTGATGTTGTTCCTGGGGACGTAGCATCTAAATGTAGCTATAATCTTCGCAACTCTGATGATGTCTCACTTCCTTTCTCGCGATTAAAATTTTCGTATGATTCTTATTTTTCATCCACAATTAGAATGTGGAATGAACTTCCAGTTGAAGTGAGAAAAAGCGAATCATTGAATTCTTTTATATCGAATATTGTTATAAAACATAAAACTGCTCCTCAATACTTTGATTCTGGACAGAGAATCACTAACATCATCCTTACAAAACTACGTTACATGTGTAGTCAGTTGAATTATGATCTATTCCGTGCTGGTTTAAGAGATAACCCAAGTTGTTCTTGTGGAAATGTTTGTGAAAATTCTTATCATTACTTATTTGACTGTCAATTATATACAGTACAGAGAACTACCATGATGACTAATTTACGCAGTGTTACCAATGTGGATATAACCTATGAGTTACTATTACATGACAATGCAGATCTGACTGTTCACATAAATCAAAACATATTTAAAATTGTTCAAACATATATTTGTCATTCAAAACGATTTTCTTAATTCTTGCAATTGTTCCTCTTTTTCCCATATTTCTGTTCTGTTCTTCTCTGTCCATCTTGTAGAATGTAAATAATACTATGTAAATACTACGGAGAGGGTGTCCTAAGTTGTATAACTTGTACCTAATCCTTTTCTCATGAATAAAATATGTTTAAAACAAAACAAAACAAACAGAGCTCGGTAAGGGCATGTAACGTCCCCTCCATACACTGTGTATAGCGGGCTGTCAGAGCTCGGTAAGGACATGTAACGTCCCCTCCATACACTGTGTACAGCGGGCTGACAGAGCAAGGTAAGGGCATGTAATGTCCCCTCCATACACTGTGTGTAACAGGCTGACAGAGCTCAGTAAGGACATTTAACGTCCCCTCCATACACTGTGTATAGCAGGCTGACAGAGCAAGGTAAGGGCATGTAACGTCCCCTCAATGCACTGTGTATAGCAGGCTGACAGAGCTCAGTAAGGACATGTAACGTCCAATCAATACACTGTGTATAGCGGGCTGACAGAGCAAGGTAAGGACATGTAACGTCCCCTCAATACACTGTGTATAGCGGGCTGACAGAGCAAGGTAAGGACATGTAACGTCCCCTCAATACACTGTGTATAGCGGGCTGACAGAGCAAGGTAAGGGCATGTAACGTCCTCTCAATACACTGTGTATAGCGGGCTGACACAGAAAGGTAAGGGCATGTAACGTCCCCTCCATACACTGTGTATAGCAGGCTCACACAGCAAGGTAAGGGCATCTAATGTCCCCTCAATACACTGTGTATAGCGGGCTGACACAGCAAGGTAAGGGCATGTAACGTCCCCTCCATACACTGTGTATAGCAGGCTGACACAGCAAGGTAAGGGCATCTAATTTCCCTCAATACATTACAGAGCAAGGTAAGGACATGTAACGTACCCTCCATACACTGTGTATAGCGGGCTGACAGAGCAAGGTAAGGACATGTAACGTCCCCTCCATACACTGTGTATAGCGGCCTGACAGAGCTCGGTAAGGGCATCTAACGTCCACTCAATACACCGTGTATAGCGGGCTGACACAGCAAGGTAAGGGCATGTAACGTCCCCTCAATACACTGTGTATAGCGGGTTGACAGAGCTCGGTAAGGGCATGTAACGTCCCCTCAATACACCGTGTATAGCGGGCTGACAGAGCTCGGTAAGGGCATGTAACGTCCCCTCAATACACCGTGTATAGCGGGCTGACAGAGCTCGGTAAGGGCATGTAACGTCCCTCAATACACCGTGTATAGTGGGCTGACAGAGCAAGGTAAGGGCATGTAACGTCCCCTCAATACACTGTGTATAGCGGGCTGACAGAGCTCGGTAAGGACATGTAACGTCCCCTCAATACACTGTGTATAGCAGGCTGACAGAGCTCGGTAAGGGCATGTAACGTCCCCTCAATACACCGTGTATAGTGGGCTGACAGAGCACGGTAAGGGCATGTAACGTCCCCTCAATACACCGTGTATAGCAGCGCTGACAGAGCTCGGTAAGGGCATGTAACGTCCTCTCAATACACTGTGTATAGTGGGCTGACAGAGCTCGGTAAGGGCATGTAACGTCCCCTCAATACACTGTGTATAGTGGGCTGACAGAGCTCGGTAAGGGCATGTAACGTCCCCTCAATACACTGTGTATAGCGCGCTGACAGAGCTCGGTAAGGGCATGTAACGTCCTCTCAATAGACCGTGTATAGCAGGCTGACAGAGCTCGGTAAGGGTATGTAACGTCCTTTCAATACACTGTGTATAGTGGGCTGACAGAGCACGGTAAGGGCATGTAACGTCCCCTCAATACACCGTGTATAGTGGGCTGACAGAGCACGGTAAGGGCATGTAACGTCCTTTCAATACACTGTTTATAGCGGGCTGACAGAGCTCGGTAAGGGCATGTAACGTCCTCTCAATACACCGTGTATAGTGGGCTGACAGAGCACGGTAAGGGCATGTAACGTCCTCTCAATACACTGTGTATAGTGGGCTGACAGAGCACGGTAAGGACATGTAACGTCCTTACAATACACTGTGTATAGCAGGCCACAACTTCGTCCTACAACAGACCCCTCAATACACTGTGTATAGCAGGCCACAACTTCGTCCTACAACAGACCCCTGAATACACTGTGTGTAGCACCTGAATACACTGTGTATAGCAGGCCACAACTTCGTCCTACAACAGACCCCTCAATACACTGTGTATAGCAGGCCACAACTTCGTCCTACAACAGACCCCTCAATACACTGTGTATAGCAGGCCACAACCTCGTCCTACAACAGACCCCTCAATACACTGTGTATAGCCGGCCACAACCTCGTCCTACAACAGACCCCATTGGGTTCCTCGTAACAAGAACTGCACTGATAACAGTCAGTGAATAAATAGGTTCTCGGGTGCTTTGGGTCCCGTATGAGCGGCAGTATTCAGTGGGTGAGTGAGTGAATGAGTGTGTCAGGTTTTGAGTCATCCTAACAGTGACACCTATAACTCCAATATTGCTGTTTGTAATGTTTGGTTTGGTCAAAGCCCAATTCTTTTTGCGGTGATGGTGACATCTGCACAACTACACGTCTGTTTCACGCCTATAAGTTACACAACACCAAATGTTTTCCCATAGATTTCTATATTAACTTTATAAAAAATATTTAGTTATCCAGGCTTGCAATGTCACCTAGGGGGATTGTATACGATGTGAATAGCACAGGGCCTATAACAGATCCCTGGGGTACACCGAATGAGAGACCAGTCTTTTCTGACACAGCTGGCCGTTGATACACACCGACTGCTGTCTACCTGACATGTATGATCTGATCCACTCAAGTGAAGCTCCTGTGACACCGATTTTGTTCTCTAGAACTCTGTCATTCTGCAGGTTATACAGCAGGTCATTCAGCAGGTCATTCAGCAGGTCATTCTGCAGGTTATACAGCAGGTCATTCAGCAGGTCATTCTGCAGGTCATTCAGCAGGTCATTCAGCAGGTCATTCTGCACTACTCAATGCTGTTGAGTGCTGTGACTAGACCGATAGGCAGATTGAAAGGGTTCGTAGCAGTTGTGGAAGTCATGTGCTCCTTGAGACGTGGAGTAACAACTTTTTCAGTCAGTTTGGAAATGTAAGACAGGACGATAGTGTTTCGGGATTTCCTTGTCTAGATTAGGTTTCTGCAAGAGAGGTGTGAAAAGTGCTTCTTTCATGGGCAGTGGTATACACAACAAGGACCCGTTAACCATATAGGTTAGGAAAAGTAGAGATCCATCCATTCTTCAGAAGCCAAGTTGGCCTCGGATCCAGGATACAGGATTTATAAGGAGTCAAGGATTTTACAGTTGAGTTTCAGATGTTTCCTGAAAGTGTGAAAGGACTTTGGAACATGCAAGCACGTCTGGTTACTGTTGTTCTGTGACTTGGTTCAGGGATGTTCTGATGTTAACGATCCTTTCTTGGAAGAACTGAGAATCTGTTACACAGTTCGGATGTTGTTGAACAGAATAGAAGTTTGGTTCTCTTCTACTTGTACAGGAGTCTGTTTGAAATGTTGAATACTAGTACTTCTTTCTGACCATTGGCATCTTTCAAGGCATTGTTGAAAGTTTTTACCTTGTCAGTTAATGAAGACACATCATTCCTCTGCTTGTCGCGGATCTCCCTGTGAATAATCTAGCCCGTCTTTCTATATTGTTTCTCCAACTTCCTATGCTTGCCTTTTTCTTTTCTGATGCATTCGTTATAGGTGCGCTAGAATGGAGAGTTATCTTACAGGTGATCAAAGGGATTAGCCTTATGTTCATTGAATCAGTGACTGTCTTGTCACAGACGGAGATTATTGCTAACTGTTGCGTTCAACTATAACTGTTTCAGGACGCTGCACAACTACTTGGTCTGGCGAGTGTTGGAGACGTACGCGCAGGATCTGTCCATGGAGTACGTGCACGCCAACAGAGAGGTGTACGTCGACATCACCGGCTACAAAGAGTTCCTGGGCAAGTGGAGGTACTGCTTCTACTACAGCAACGGCAGACTCCCTGATGCCATGTCGGCTCTGTTTGTAGCCGATCACTTCGCAGACCAGAACAAAGCAAAGGTGCAAGCACTTACTGTGTACTTCTATGACAGTAGTAGTAGTAGTCGTCCTAGTAGTCGTCCTAGTAGTAGTAGTCGTCCTAGTAGTCGTCCTAGTAGTCGTCCTAGTAGTCGTGGTCGTATACCTGTATATGATATATCATTTGTGTTTGTCAGGTCATTGACATCACGGACACTACCAAGCAGGCGTTGGCTGATCTTCTCCGGACCACGCCCTGGCTGGATGACAAGACCCGGGCCTATGCTGAGAGTAAGGTAGGTTGCATGACAAGACCCGGGCCTATGCTGAGAGTAAGGTAGGTTGCAAGACCCGGGCCGGATGACAAGACCCGGGCCTATGCTGAGAGTAAGGTAGGTTGCATGACAAGACCCGGGCCAATGCTGAGAGTAAGGTAGGTTGCATGACAAGACCCGGGCCTATGCTGAGAGTAAGGTAGGTTGCATGACAAGACCCGGGCCTATGCTGAGAGTAAGGTAGGTTGCATGACAAGACCCGGGCCTATGCTGCATGACAAGACCCGTAAGGTAGGTTGCATGACAAGACCCGGGCCTATGCTGAGAGTAAGGTAGGTTGCATGACAAGACCCGGGCCTATGCTGAGAGTAAGGTAGGGTTGCATGACAAGACCCGGGCCTATGCTGAGTAAGGTAGGTTGCATGAGGTAGGTTGCATGACAAGACCCGACCAATGTTGATGAGTAAGGTAGGTTGCATGACAAGACCCGGGCCTATGCTGAGAGTAAGGTAGGTAGGTTGCATGACAAGACCCGGAGAGTAGGTATGCTGAGAGAAGACCCGTAAAGGTAGGTTGCATGACAAGACCCGGGCCTATGCTGAGAAGTAAGGTAGGTTGCATGACAAGACCCGGGCCTATGCTGAGAGTAAGGTAGGTTGCATGACAAGACCCGGGCCTATGCTGAGAGTAAGGTAGGTTGCATGACAAGACCCGGGCCTATGCTGAGAGTAAGGTAGGTTGCATGACAAGACCCGGGCCTATGCTGAGAGTAAGGTAGGTTGCATGACAAGACCCGGGCCTATGCTGAGAGTAAGGTAGGTTGCATGACAAGACCCGGGCCTATGCTGAGAGTAAGGTAGGTTGCATGACAAGACCCGGGCCTATGCTGAGAGTAAGGTAGGTTGCATGACAAGACCCGGGCCTATGCTGAGAGTAAGGTAGGTTGCATGACAAGACCCGGGCCTATGCTGAGAGTAAGGTAGGTTGCATGACAAGACCCGGGCCTATGCTGAGAAGGTAGGTAAAGACCCGGGCCTATGCTGAGAGTAGGTAGGTTGCATGACAAGACCCGGGCCTATGCTGAGAGTAAGGTAGGTTGCATGACAAGACGAGCGATTGGATGACAAGACGAGCGCCAATGTTGAGAGTAAGGTAGGTTGCATGACAGGGCCGGGCTTGCTATTCTCGAAACGTTCGTAGCCCTACGAACTTCTTAAGCCCATTCTTAACACATTGGCTACGATCAAAATTAAGAATTCTTATGGCTACGAACGTTTCGAGAATAGGTGCCCAGGGTCTATGTTGAGAGTAAGGAAGGTTGGATGACGAGACCATGGCCATTGTTGAGAGTAAGGTAGGTCGTATGTTATGACCAGGGTCTTTGCTAAGAATAAGTTAGGTTAGATGACAAGATCAAGGCTATCGGTATGGTTACAGCAAACATCATGCACTGTAACTCACTCCATTATCATTTACTTCGGTGTAATCGATTGTATTATAACCTACTTCACTATTACCGAGTTCAGTTGCTATGTTTGAAGGTGAAGGCCACGACGTTCAAGCTCGGCTATCCTGATTACATCGCCAACCAGGACGCGGTGGACACGATATACGACCAGGTACTGCTCCAGCGAGTGAATGAATGTTGTTGTAGGCAAGTGTCACCAGTCCCCTGTGTATATAACTGAATCTGACCTCACAGGCTTATGTTTCCCCAGCAAACATAGAACTTTGGGGTATATGAACATAATGGAGATTGGTCATTTACTCTTTCTAGCTACATATGTTGCAGAATTCGATATAACCTGTCTGTCATGTTGTAGCTGCAATGTCTGTCATGTTGTAGCTGCAATGTCTGTCATGTTGTAGCTGCAATGTCTGTCATGTTGTAGCTGCAATGTCTGTCATGTTGTAGCTGCAATGTCTGTCATGTTGTAGCTGCAAATCAATGGGTCCGACTGGTTTGGGAACATCCTGCGGATCAACCAGTTCCACAAGGTCCGCTGGAACAAGGAGGAACTGCGGGAGGAGAGGACCGGAAACAGTGGTATTTTCGGGCGTTTGACACCAACATGGCGGTGTGGTGGTACTCTAACCAAGTCATAGCACCAGCGGGGCTCCTCCAATTCCCCATCTATGACTACCATATGCCCCATTTCTTTACGTTTGGGTCCTTTGGGACACTGCTGGGTCATTTTGTGCTGCACATCGTTGATGAATGGGGTTTGTACTCATTCAGCCGAAACGTATTGTTTTTAATTTAGGCATTCATAAGGATGTGCAGAGTTGTCTCCCTTGAGATGAACCAGCCTCCTCTTGAGGTCGATCCCAGATTACCTGAGATTACAATACTTGTTTTGTTAGCAAAAATATGTACTCATGACTCATGAAAGAGGTGGGCCTTTGTTTCCTTTACTTCAACAATAACCTGACTCTCTCTGGCAGACATATAAAGCCTTCAAGCAGCGTCAAACCAGTCACTCACTCACATAACTCACATCTCTATATTCTGATTATTTACTTAGTAACTATATGCATATGTAGACCTGTATATGTTTGGAGTGAAGGTCGAGCCTGGGACAAAGATGGCGAATATATGGGCACCAATAAAGAATGGTGGACCAACGCCACCATGACGTCATACGGCGACGTCAAACAGTGCATGATTGACGTCCTCACCAACAAAACACAAGGCCCTGTAGTCAGACCCGATGGGAAAAAGGTCGATGTACGTACAGCTAAGTTGTGTCGTGAGGTGTTTGGCGTAGAAGGTCTGCATTGTGTGTCGATGTGGTGTCTAGTATGGGGGTGCGTCGCATCTTAAGGTAAAGTGTGGTGTGGTGTGATGTGGTGTGATGTGGTGATGTGATGTGGTGAGGTGATGTGGTGAGGTGTGTGATGTGTGTGGCGTGGCGTGATGATGAGAGGTGGTGAGATGTGTGGTGTATGGTGTATGTGTAGTGTGTGTGTGGTGTGTGTATTGTGTGTGGTGTGGCTTGATGTGAGGTGTGTGATGTGTGGTGTATGGTGTGTGGTGTGGTGTGGTGATGTGTGTGATGTGTGGGTGTGGTGTGGTGGTGTGGTGTGGTGTGGCTTGATGTGATGTGGTGAGGTGTGTGATGTGGTGTATTGTGTGTGTATGGTGTGGTGTGTGGTGTGGTGTATTGTGTGTGGTGTGGCTTGATGTGAGGTGGTGGGATATTGTGTGATGTGTGTGTATGGTGTGTGGTGTGGTGTGGTGTGATGTGTGGTGTGGATATTTGATGGTGTGGTGTATTGTGTGTGTGATTGTGGTGTGGTGTATGTGTGTGGTGTGGTGTATTGTGTGTGTGTGTGGCTTGATGTGAGGTGGTAGGTGTGTGATGTGTGGTGTGTGGTGTGGGGTTGTGGTGTGGTGGTGGTGTGTGTGGTGTATTGTAGGTGTGGTGTATTGTGTTGTGTGGTGTGGCTTGATGTGATGTGGTGATATGTGTGGTGTGTGGTGTGGTGTATTGTGTGTGGTGTGTGGTGTGGTGTATTGTGTGTGGTGTGGCTTGATGTGATGTGGTGAGGTGTGTGGTGTGGTGCATGGTGTGTGGTGTTGTTTGATGTGATGTGATGGGGTGAGGTGAGGTGTGGTGAGGTGTGGTGTGATGCAGTTGTGTGGTGTGGTGTGATGTTGTGTTGTGTGGTGTGGTATGGTGTACGGTGAAGGTGTGGCACTGTAAGGTAAGATGATGTGATGTGGTGTGGTGGTGAGGGGCAGGTGTGGTGTGATACGGTGAGGCAAGGCGTGGCACTGTAAGGTAAGATGTGAATTGGTGTGGTGTGGTGTGGTGTGGTGGTGTGGCAAGGCCTGGCACTGTAAGTAATGATGTGGTGTTGGTGAGGTGTGGTGTGTTATGGTGTGGCAAAGGCGTGGCACAAGGCGTGGCACTGTAAGGTAAGATGTGATGTGGTGTGGTGAGGTGAGGGGAGGTGTGGTACGGTGAGGCAAGGCGTGGCACTGTGAGGTAAGATGTGATGTGGTGTGGGCAAATGCGGCGATACGTGGCACCTTAAGCTTTGATGTGTGAAGGAAAGGACCTTAAATTGCATTAATGTGTTGTATCTTCGTCATGCTCCTAGTCATGTGTATGTGTCTTTGTTTTCACGGATGGATAGCCCGAAAACGATAAAGCAAGTTCAGGAAGTTCATGAATGTCTCTGATAATTCAGTTGGTTGTCTCACCTCCAGATGCCTCTTAACGCCGCGGGAGTGGCAGCAGAAGCCATCGCCATCACGTCGGGTGCCCATCTCGCTTATAAGGTAAATCACGAGTTTATCTAGTCCTTACAGTGATAGTAACGCGTTGTGTGGGTGTTAAACTATAATATACCACTGTACACCTGACAGCAGTCGAGTCTATTCCAGGCATACAAGCTATGGCTGCAACAGAAGGGTATGGAGAAGACCGCGCCCACCGGTATGAACCTCAGCAATGAGAAGCTGTTCTTCGTTTCGTTTGCCCAGGTAACGTTCACCATAGTCGTCAGGTAACGGGTGTTCAGAGACGTCATTACCAATTCGACGTTTGAGTAAGACATGTCAGAAATCAACATCGATAATTGAAATATGCAAATCTCTGAAGCACAGGGTTTGTCGGCTGTAAAGTGTCACCGGTTCGAAAGCCACGTGACTGATTATGTTATATTGAGAGGGACGAGAGCGGAGTTTTGTTTATTGAAAACAAACCCAACATATTTGTCCTTGACAGAAATAGGTTCTACCAGCATTCCAGACTCCGGTCGTCTAGGTTCCACCACCACGTCCTCTTGAAGGACTTATTCTGTTGGCGTGTAGAGAAATGTGTCCACTCGAACTCCCTGTTTCAGATGTACTGCTACAACACAGACAACGAGCTGATGTACAGGAGACTGAGGTTCGGGTACTACCTGTTGGGAGACACGAAGTACGTCTATACCACATATCATCGTCACGTTATGTAAAGCATCACTTCACGGTGGACGTTGTCCGAAACACCATTTCTTTGAAAATAATAGTATCGGTAGATAGATAGACGGATGGAAGGATGGATGGACAGAGCGATAAACTTTTGTTAATGTATGTTTCAGAGTGAACACAGCTTTGCGTCAACTGAAAGAATTCAGTCAAACATTTGGCTGCAGTCCAACGTCTCCCATGAACCAGCCTGACAAGTGCACCCTCTACTGAAGCCCTACATGAACCAGCCTGACAAGTGCACCTCTACTGACGTGTTAGATGACCCCACCCCACGCCTTCTCAACCTATACCGCCAAATGCACATTGTACTGATGTCTCGTGACATTCTGTGTTCATATGGAGCTGTATACATCATGGTGACGTCACAGTGACTCTGGCTTACGTCATCACAACAATATGTTCACGGAGTTATACAACATCTAAGAAGCCGTGCTCCTTCCAGTGTCTCTATGCACCTATGGACAACTCAGTAACCTGTATCCGACACCGGTGTACAACTTCGGTGCAGTATACAACAATAACACCATCCTACCACATAACTTCCGCATCTACGCAGACAAGCTATAATGTATCGTGTATGCCTGATAGTGCATGGTCTGACTATGATCATGGACCCCTGTAATTCATTTGTGATATGATTGACTCTGACATCGAGGTACTTCGTGGTACAGAAATATGTAATGTGTCAAATTATTTGTTCCTTCATTTTTAAATATTTTTCTACCATAAAGACAATAAAATTTGTCCCCTGACATGTGCTGCACAGTCTTATTAAAATCGTTGCTTAAGCTAAATTTTATATTTACATTTTAAATGCAATATCACTTTGTTGTGGGCATTCAGAAACTGGTCAAATGTAACACATGTTAGAGCCTGACTCCCAGATTGGAGATGCGCATCCTGGACAGGACTCGGCCAAATAAAGTACTAGAATCTGTACATTACTGAGAAAGTGTAATCCCAAATATAACATATGTTACAATTGACCTCTTTCTAAATGGCATTGTGTATTCATAACACACACAATTCCTAGCTAACAATGTATGTTCGATGTGTAATGTTCGTTATTCAGCTGACAGGGTTTCGTCAAGGGTGTCACATTACACCTTTACTATTGTGTCCAATCGAAGGTATGTGATATTGTCTAGAGTTATCAGCCAAACAATGTTCCACCTATGTTAGTGTTCTGACTTCTCTACAGAAGGTCGTCACACAGCAATCCATGCATTTGTAATTTTTGAGCTTGTTCGTAGAAAATGCGGTTTGTTGTATGTGGCGATTATGGCAAGAGCTGCATTTAAAACTAAAGCGATAATCGCGCATTTTTCTTGTGTTTTTGTGTATCAACGAAGCATTTACTTGACAGACAATGACAAAAGTTCGAGATATTACAAGCGTCTCGGTATTTTTGTACCTCTAACACATGAGAAGGAATTTCATATTTTACCATCTTCTATGGAATGACAATAACATTACACGATAACAACAGGAATAATTCCCCATAACGCAGATTGTGAATGAAGACATTTTCAATGCGGTTTGATACGTTTATATTTAATTGCAAATCTTTGATAATGAAAATACGTCCTTCGTGAACTGCACATATTAATGTCTACGTCAAAGAATGGCGGACGAATAATCATCATCGTTATAACAATATCGATAATATTATTGTGTCTGTTTGTAAAGCGACAAATCCACACATTATAGCAAACCTTTGAGCGCTACCTGTGGAACGCCTCTTTCCTGCCTAACAGTGTATCAGGTGAATATATGAAAGAGAGCATGTTAAGTGTTAGGCTATATATTACATTCTTGACTAATGTGGCGTAAACAAATAGTTACTGAGTAAACATGTCAAGTTGTATTAACTGACGTTGGGGGGAGATTTGGATTCACTGATCGTCACCGGCATGTTAAATCTGTTTCTATAAGTTACTGTACGAAAAGACGATATTCTAGCTCTTTAAGGGGTAATTTGGCGTGTTTTGCAAGATATTTTGCGTTGTCAACATCCTGATAATATTCTCTTGGCGCTGATCCCTACTGGCTGTGTATTATACTTATTGTAACTGGACATTTGTAGTGCGGTGTTTAGTATTCTCACTCTTCCAGCTCATGCAGTTGTTATTGGGTTAACTTATATGCATTCTTTACCTTAATTACAATCATGTATATGCCTATATTTCTACAGCAAAAGTTATGGTTCACATGTATGTTTATGGAAAATTATATAGAAACATAATCATTATTATGTATGAGATAGATTTTGTTGGCATCCACACCTCCCAAGGCTGTCAGTTATTCAATTCAGTTTATAGTTTCACATACACATCACGTGACTTTCATACGCCCCTCGATCAAGAGGTCACCCACAACGTAACAGAATAGGGAAAGGTGATTCGACAAGGAGATCTTCTTTCCCCTGTACTATTGTGTTCACTTTCACAGGACACTACGTGAATATTCATATCCTGTGTACGTGTTGTCTTCGGTACAGCGCTGTATCTGCATAGTGGTGATGGGGCCTAGTATTACATGTATGCAAGGTTATTGTAAGCGAGACATTGTGGCAACCGATGTACATAGGTCACTACATGTACGTCGACCAATCAAGGCTTACTCCACTCGTAACCAGATATGTGTCTTTATCCGATTACAGAGTAACACTGTGACATTAACAGGCTGATACAAACATTCTTTTAACATTTTTCATTAAATTATATTTTTAGTGTGTATTTGTTACAGGACTGTAGACTGAACATTCTCCAACACATGATACCACTGCACTAGAGGAAAATGGACATGACGGTATTTACACAGATATACGAGTGTATATATACAAAGTGTAAATATAGACATTTTACTACACAGATATACGAGAATGTATATATACAACGTGTAAACATAGACATTTTACTACACAGATATACAAGTGTGTATATACAAAGTGTAAACATAGACATTTTATGCAGATATTATTTTTAGATATTATTTTCATGGGATCATGAAGTGAGTCGCACTGTATGTTTATGTAATTCTGTACACCTCGGCTCTGTGGTCCGAGGAGTAGTTAGACGACATCCAGGTCCAAGCGAGATATTTGTGTCCAGCTCCTGCATGAGTCTTGCCCTCCCCCCCTCCGACAATAGAGTCACAACCTACATCTCTTGATGTCTCCACATTTCTTCCAATGTTTCACGTCTTCCTTCACTTTTCTAGGTTTTCTGTTAATACTTGTTCCAACTGTCGAGTACTGGCCATAGTATCAGTGTCCTCTAGAGGTCAGCCAGAGGTCAGTACAGGCCACACTTGGTAGAAGGGTTCAGTTTGGCGTTCGCCGGACACTTAAAGGCTTTGTTAAACTCGTCAAGTTGACTGACTGCCAAGTTTACACTGCGGAAATCAAACAATATAAGCATGATATATTTATTGAAGAAATAGTATATGAATAGATGCAGAAGAATATTGAAACTAACACTGAAGACTGGACGTTAAACAGAATACATGTACTACTACGCCGCACTTTTCAAATACATCTGTTGTCAACATTTTCTAAAACATTTTCTTAAAAACAAGTAGAAACACGGCCAATACCAGTCAGTCAGCCTCAGTTCTGCGAATTTGAACATAATAACCCCTTTTTGAACACGGAAACTTAAAATGAACACGCTGTCCTCTAATGAACGTAATGACCCCAATTTGAACAATGATCACTATTTGTACAAAGTCCATTGAACAATGTTTACTATCGTAACCACAGTCCACAAATCGACAGTATGTCCCGAGTTCGAACGCGATGTGTACTGAAAAATACAGGTTTGGGTTCATTTTCACCGAGTTTCAAGGGTCATTTAATAAACTTTCATGACAAAGGGGTGGGGGGCCACACCCCCTCTGGATCCGCCTATGGAATATAACCATGAATATTTTTTATTATTGAACCAGAGTGGTGGGCACTATTTAAACCTCTACTGGAGTAAACTGATGAGAGAGTCTCACCTGTAATCCTCCCTGATGTTGTACCTGCCCAGGCGGTAGGCCACGTTAGGGTCGCGATTGAAACAGTACGTCTGGAAAATAACACATTGTTGTTGTGTACTTCTCGAGACAAATGTCACTGGTGTTCCAAAAACTGAACGTGTATTATAAGAATTATTTCAGGCATGAAAGTTACGTAGTTTATAAGAAAATTGAATTCTTTTGGCACTTTGCTAGGCATTGCATCAATTCAATCAGTCATGGGTTGCCGTTTTTTCAAGTGACTTTGAATGAATTTATTTCTAGAAATATACTTGTGGCACGAGAGGGCCTGTTGTATAAGGCGCCGCAATTCGTTATGCAGGGTGAAGTCCCACAGGTGTGCCACAAATGGGCAGTGGGTACAATCGTCAGTTCCATGTAATATTGTTTTTGCCTTACCTGGGCGTATGAAATGAAGAAGAGCTGGTCGTTTGTGAGACCTTGACCCGATGGCGCCAACTTCTCCACGCCATATTTGGACTCCCACTTGTGATAGGCCTGTGTGAGAAATGACTCCATCAGTACTCAATACGTTCAGTCAGCTTGTTGCACGTGTAGGAATAACATGTTGATGTGGAGCAGTGCACTATAAGTGGTTACTTTTTCCGGAGTGTGACGTAGTGTATCATGGCAGCACAAGGACTACACTTAAAGGCGGGCTAGCATCCAGTCAAATAGACTGGACCAGTAAGTTATATTTACCGGTAAAGATCATCCAACACCAACATAGCAATGGCAACATATACACATTAGATAAGTGGTATTTGTACTATGTAACTGTGGTTTATACTGTTGCAACTGATAACACTACAAGAATTTAAGATAAACTACCATACCCGGTCAATGTTTAAATGAAAATAAAAACATGATTTGGTTTGTTGTTATTTTCCTGTATGTCTTTAAGTGATGAATATTTCCAAGGGAACTCTTGTTATGGATGTTGTATGTTCTGCTCACATTGTAGGCAAGCCGCACACCCGTGACCTTTGCTATGTTGTCGGTGGCTGTCCTAGAGGAGCGTATCGGGAACTGTGAAAAGATGCACCATACCAGCAGAACACATAAGTGGATGTACGCACAAAACAGTCTAGATATGCATAATGCAGCCAGCAGCTTGGTGGCTTTCAAAAACATAAAATCAAACTATATCCGGAGAAACATTAAAATTCAACATAATTCACCTCTAGGGCAGTGTATCATCACTACAAGGCCTGCGTCAACATCTCTAGGGATGTGTGTCAACATCTCTAGGCAGTGTGTCAACATCTCTAGGCAGTGTGTCAACATCTCTAGGCAGTGTGTCAACACCTCTAAGCAGTGTGTCAACATCTCTAGGCAGTGTGTCAACACCACTAGGCAGTGTGTCAACATTTCTAGGCAGTGTGTCAACATCTCTAGGCAATGTGTCAACATTTTTAGGCCTTGTATCAACACCTCTAGGCAGTGTATCAACACCGCTTGGCAGAGTGTCAACATTTCTAGGCATTGTATTAACACCTCTAGTCAGTGTGTCAACATCTCTAGGCAATGTGTCAACATCTCTAGGTAGTGTGTCAACATCTCTAGGCAGTGTGTCAACAACTCTAGGCAGTGGGTCAACATTTCTAGGCAGTGTGTCAACATCTCCAGGCAGTGATTCATCATCTTAAGGCAGTGTGTCAACATTTCTATGCAATGTATCGACACCTCTAGGCAGTGTTTCATCATCTTGAGGCAGTGTGTCAACAACTCTAGGCAGTGTGTCAACATTTCTAGGCCTTGTATCAACATCTCAAGGCAGTGTGTCAACATCTCTAGGAGTGTGTCAACATCTCAAGGCAATGTATCAGCATTTGTAGGCAGTGTGTCAACATTTCAAGGTAGTGTGTCCACATCCCTAGGTAGTGTGTCAAAAACTCTAGGCAGTGTGTCAACACCCCTAGGCAGTGTGTCAACACCCCTAGGCAGTGTGTCAACATTCCTAGGCAGTATGTCAACACCCATAGGCAGTGTGTCAACATCTCTAGGCAGTGTGTCAACATTTCTAGGCAGTATGTCAACACTTCTAGCAGTGTGTCAACACCCCTAGACAGTGTGTCAACATCTCTAGGCAGTGTGTCAACATTTCTAGGCAGTGTGTCAACATCTCTAGGCAGTGTGTTAACATCTCTAGGCAGTGTGTCAACATTTCTAGGCAGTGTGTTAACATATCTAGGCAGTGTGTCAACATCTGTAGGCAGTGTCAACATTTCTAGGCAGTGTGTCCACATTTCTAGGCAGTGTGTCAACATCTTTAGGCCTTGTATCAACATATCTAGGCAGTGTGTCAACATCTCTATGCAATGTGTCAACATCTCTAGGCCTTGTGTCAACATTTCTAGGCCTTGTATCAACATTTTTAGGCCTTGTATCAACATTTCTAGGCCTTGTATCAACATTTCTAGGCCTTGTATCAACATTTCTAGGTAGTGTGTCAACAATTCTAGGCAGTGTTTCATCATCTTTAGGCATTGTATTAACACCTCTAGTCAGTGTGTCAACATCTCTAGGCAATGTGTCAACATCTCTAGGCAGTGTGTCAACATCTCTAGGCAGTGTGTCAACAACTGTGTGGGTCAACATCTCTAGGCAGTGTGTCAACATCTCTAGGCAGTGTGTCAACAACTCTAGGCAGTGGGTCAACATTTCTAGGCAGTGTGTCAACATCTCCAGGCAGTGATTCATCATCTTTAGGCAGTGTGTCAACATTTCTATGCAATGTATCGACACCTCTAGGCAGTGTTTCATCATCTTTAGGCAGTGTGTCAACAACTCTAGGCAGTGTGTCAACATTTCTAGGCCTTGTATCAACATCTCAAGGCAGTGTGTCGACATCTCTAGGCAATGTGTCAACATCTCTAGGCAGTGTGTCAACCTTTCTAGGCAGTGTTACATCATCTTTAGGCAGCGTGCCAACATTTCTACGCAGTGTGTCAACATCTCTAGGCAGTGTGTCAACATTTCTAGGCAGTGTGTCAACATCTCTAGGCAGTGTGTCAACATTTCTAGGCCTTGTATCAACATTTCTAGGCATTGTATCAACACCTCTAGTCAGTGTGTCAACATCTCTAGGCAATGTGTCAACATCTCTAGGCAGTGTGTCAACATTTCTAGGCAGTGTGTCAACAACTCTAGGCAGTGTGTCAACATTTCTAGGCAGTGTGTAAACATCTCTAGGCAGTGTTTCATCATCTTTAGGCAGTGTGTCAACATTTCTAGGCAGTGTATCGACACCTCTAGGCAGTGTTTCATCATCTTTAGGCAGTGTGTCAACATCTCTAGGCAATGAATCAACATCTCTAGGCCTTGTATCAACATCTCTAGGCAGTGTGTCAACATCTCTAGGCAATGTGTCAACATCTCTAGGCAATGTGTCAACATTTCTAGACAGTGTATCAACACCTCTAGGCAGTGTGTCAACATCTCTAGGCAATGTGTCTGCCGACGTCAGTTTCTCTACAGAGACAAAGAGGAAGTGTGACCAATGTATTGTATGATGCTGCGCTGAAACCAAGTGTTAACGTGAGATTTGTGCAGTGTGCAGTCTGGATGTTCACTTACATACACTTGCTTGCCATCTGGTTGAGTGAACGGCCCCTGGGTCGTGTTGTAGGCGTCAATCATGCATTTCTTCACGTCCCCGTATGACGTCACAGTAGCGTTGGTCCACCACGAGTTCTGAGATCCCAGGTACCTTCCTGTTGTGTCCCAATTTTTCCCTAGAAGAAGAAAAGGCTTTAACAGTAGGTCGGTTATATCTCTTGACGTCGACACTAGCCCTTGTTAATTACTCTAGGACCGTTAGGTCACTAGGTCTTCGTACTAGGACCGTTGTGTCTCAGGTAGGTCTTAGGTAGGCCCATCGGCCTTATCACAAGTTACCTTATATCTCCAGCCCTTGTCTTTGGGTTTTAACACGAAATCCCCTGTATCCAGGTCTTGGCTCCAGGTCCGCTATGAACCCAGGCTTTGGCACGAGGAACGTTAAGACGCAAGGTGTGTTAAGTGTCGTTGTTTTGACACAGGTTACATTATGTCTCTTGACATTATGTCCCGTTGAAACGGTCCCTTATGTCTCTAGGTTTTGACACTGGGTCCGTTATATCCCTGGGTCTTGACACAGGATCTTTTAGGGCAATAACTATTGACACTAGGTCCGTTATGCCCCTGCTTCATGACACAGGATCATTTAGGGCCCTAACTATTGACAATAAGTCCGTTATATCCCTGGGTCTTGACACAGGATCTTTTAGGGCAATAACTATTGACAGTAAGTCCGTTATATCCCTGGGTCTTAAGGCAGGATCTTTTAGGGCCCTAACTATTGACAGTAAGTCCGTTATATCCCTGGGTCTTAAGGCAGGATCTTTTAGGACAATAACTATTTACAGTAAGTCCGTTATATCCCTGGGTCTTGAGTCAGGATCTTTTAGGGCCCTAACTATTGACAATAAGTCCGTTATATCCCTGGGTGTTGAGGCAAGATCTTTTAGGGCCCTAACTATTGACACTAGGTCCGTTATATCCCTGGGTCTTGAGGCAGGATCTTTTAGGGCCCTAACTATTGACAATAAGTCCGTTATATCCCTGGGTCTTGAGGCAGGATCTCTTAGGACAATAACTATTGACAATAATTCCGTTATATCCCTGGGTCTTGACGCAGGATCTTTTAGGACAATAACTATTGACAATAAGTCCGTTATGCCCCCTGCTTCATGACACAGGATCTTTTGGGGCCCTAACTATTGACAATAAGTCCGTTATATCCCTGGGTCTTGAGTCAGGATCTTTTGGGGCCCTAACTCTTGACAATAAGTCCCTTATATCCCTGGATCTTGAGGCAGGATCTCTTAGGACAATAACTATTGACAATAAGTCCGTTATATCCCTGGGTCTTGAGTCAGGATCTTTTAGGACAATAACTATTGACAGTAAGTCCGTTATATCCCTGGGTCTTGACGCAGGATCTTTTAGGACAATAACTTTTGGCAGTTATTCCGTTATATCCCTGGGTCTTGAGGCAGAATCTTATAGACAGTAAGTCCGTTATATCCCTGGGTCTTGACACAGGATCATTTAGGACACTAACTATTGACCGGTCCGTTATATCCCTGGGTCTTGAGGCAGAATCTTTTGGGCCCTAACTATTTGACAATAAGTCCGTTATATCCCTGGGTCTTGACGGATCTTTTGGGGCCCTAACTGTTGATAAGTCTTATATCCCTGGGTCTTGAGGAGGATTTCTTAGGACAATAACTATTGACAATAAGTCCGTTATATCCCTGGGTCTTGAGGCAGGATCTCTTAGGACAATAACTATTGACAATAAGTCCGTTATATCCCTGGGTCTTGACGCAGGATCTTTTAGGACAATAGCTATTGACAGTAAGTCCGTTATATCCCTGGGTCTTGACGCAGGATCTTTTAGGACAATAACTTTTGGCAGTTATTCCGTTATATCCCTGGGTCTTGAGGCAAAATCTTATAGGGCCCTAACTATTGACAGTAAGTCCGTTATATCCCTGGGTCTTGACACAGGATCATTTAGGACACTAACTATTGACCGTAAGTCCGTTATATCCCTGGGTCTTGAGGCAGAATCTTTTTGGGCCCTAACTATTGACAGTAAGTCCGTTATATCCCTGGGTCTTGACGCAGGATCTTTTAGGACAATAACCATTGACAGTAAGTCCGTTATATCCCTGGGTCTTGAGTCAGGATCTTTTAGGACAATAACTATTGACAGTAAGTCCGTTATATCCCTGGGTCTTGAGTCAGGATCTTTTGGGGCCCTAACTATTGACAGTAAGTCCATTATATCCCTGGGTGTTGAGGCAGGATCTTTTGGGGTCCTAACTATTGACAATAAGTCCGTTATATCCCTGGGTCTTGAGGCAGGATCTTTTAGGGCCCAAACTATTGACAGTAAGTCCGTTATATCCCTGGGTCTTGAGGCAGGATCTACTGACTATTTGACACTATGTCTCCTAAAATTCCTTATTTGTTTACATGTTGGGTTATCATGATAATAATAATAATAAGTACATTTATAATGCGGCAAATCCAGACACAAAGTGTCTGCTCATAGTGCTACATGAGGGATTCTGACATCACCAGGTTAAGAGAAATGTTTTGAGACTGTCTTTGAACATTTGGAGAGTAAGGATTCCTCTAAGATGATCTGGGAGTTTATTCCAGAGAGTGGTGGCATTGTAAGTAAATGATCTCTCACCAAATCGTCTCAGACGTGGGGTTGGAACAGAGAAGGGATGTTGTTGGGCAGATCGGAGGACTCTAGATAGGTGGTAGACTTGTGTGAGTTCTGACAGGTAGGAAGGTGCTGACACGTGATAACACTGATAGGCCAGAGCAAGCACTTTATACTGAATACGTGCATCAATAGGTAGCCAGTTCAGTTTCATCAGTATGGGCGTGATGTGCACAGATTTCTTTGATCGTGTAACTATCCTTGCGGCAGAATTCTTAATGCGCTGAAGCCTGGACATTTGTTCATTGGTGATGTTACATAAAAGACTATTACAGTAGTCCAGCTTGGATAGCACTAAACTCCTGACAAGCATATGTGCAGTATCTCTAGACAGCAGGTGCCGGATGCTGCCGATGTTCCTGAGATGATAGTGACAAGCTCTGCAGGTCATAGTGATGTGCTGATCCATCGCCAGGTCATTGTCTAGCATAACTCTAAGATTTCTAACACAGTCAGTGAGAAGAACCTGAGACTGTCCAACACTAAGAGATGAAACATTTGCTTTGTTCCGCTTATCACGTGTACCAATCAACATGGTAACATGGGTTATCATGACGGGTAACACGGGTTATCATGACGGGTAACACGGGTCATCATGATGGGTAACATGGGTCATCATGACAGGTAGCACGGGTGATCATGACGGGTAACACGAGTCATCATGATGGTTGACACGGGTTATCATGATGGTTGACACGGGTCATTATGACGGGTAGCACGAGTTATCCTGATGCGTAGCATGGGTTATCATGACAAGTAACATGGGTTATCATGACGGTTAACACTCTTATCATCACGGGTAACATGGGTTATCATGACGAGTAACACGGGTTATCATGGCGGGTAACACTCTTATCATCACGGGTAACATGGGTTATCATGACGAGTAACATGGGTTATCATGACGGGTAACACTCTTATCATCAACGGTAACATGGGTTATCATGACGAGTAACACGGGTTATCATGACGGGTAACACTCTTATCATCATGTGTAACATGGGTTATCATGACGGGTGACATGGTTATCATGACGGGTAACATGAGTCATTATGATGGGTAGGACGGGTTATCATGGCGGTTAGCACGGGTTATCATGACAAGTAACACGGGTTATCATGATGGGTAACATGGATCATCATGACAAGTGACCCGGGTTATCATGACGGGTAACACGGACTCGTGTCCACATAAGTAAGAGAAACGATTGAGAACCCTGCTCGCTAAGAAACCACATCGACATCTGTTGGGCAGCCTACCGTACTCGTCGACGAGGTGGATGACGAAGTGTCCGAGGATTGTGCCGAACGAACCAAATGTGAAGTAGTGAGGGAGTTTGAAGTCGTAGATGGGGAACTGCAGCAGCCCCGCGGGGACGATCACTTCGTTCCAGTACCATAGCACGGCCATGTTGGTGTCGAACGTGCTGAAGTACCACTGGTTCCTGTCCTCGCCTTTCACCAGTTCCTTGCTCCAGGCCAGTTTGTGGTAGTTGTTCATGCTCAGGATGTTCCCAAAGAAATCCGATGCGTTTATGTTGATCTGGGGGGTAGATTTGAGGCAACTTAGTGGTGTTAATACATTGTCTCCGAGACCTAACCATTTAGTCCAGGTACCGGTCAGGAGAGAATGTGGCATACAAAAGACTCTCCTCCATATAAATGTCTACAGGAGACTGAGACTTTTAACTGAACACACTCTTGTGTACATCGCCCGTGCTACACCTGTTGATCTCCAACACAATGGAGCTTCAGGATATTACCAGAACATGTGGAAAGTCGTGTAACAACGTGATCCGTGACATACACTTGTATTTCAAAAAGAAAAAAGTTTGATTCTAAACAGCATAGTAAGAAGATAATATTGACTTTCAATATAGTTTTATCAAACATTATATACGTAAAGCACGCACACACACTTTAAGAGCAACAACACAGATTGATTGTCATATCGATGACAACAGATTCAACACTGTATGTGTCTGTGTGTGGTCAGTAGCCTTCCTGTGGTGCTAATGCTTGCATGTGTGTGTGGTCGGTAGCCTTTCTGCGGTGCTAATGCTGGCATGTGTGTGTGGTCAGTAACCTTCCTGTGGTGCTAATGTTTGTTTGTGTGTGGTCAGTAGCCTTCCTGTGATACTAATACATGCTTCTGTGTGGTCAGTAGCCTTCCTGTGGTGCTAATGTTTGTTTGTGTGTGGTCAGTAGCCTTCCAATGGTACTAATACATGCTTGTGGGTGGTCGGTAGCCTTCCTGTGGTGCTTATGGTTGCTTGTGTGTGGTCAGTAGCCTTCCTGTGGTACTAATACATGCTTGTGTGTGGCCAGTAGCCTTCCTGTGGTACTAACACATGCTTGTGTGTGGTCAGTAGCCTTCCTGTGGTACTAATGCTTGCTTGTGTGTGGTCGGTTGCCTACCTGTGATACTACTTAATGACCGTGCATGGTCGGATGCCTTGATTATACTTACTGGTTGATAGAGGACATCGATATTGTCTTTGTTTTTCAGCAAGTCTGAGTAACCGAGTTTGTAAGAGGCTCCTTTTATCTGGAAAACATCAAATATGATAACATACTGATTGCGTTGATGACTTTGGTTAAGTAGTTGAAGTTATGGGATGGGAGATGGGATGGGAGATGTGATGTGATGAAAGAACCGTGATAATGTCCTAGGTTATAGTAAGGGTTGTCTTGCTGACCTTGGCTAGACAAATGGGATGTGAGATGGGATGTGAGATGGGATGTAATGAAAGAACCATGATAATGTCTTAAGATAATAAGGGTTGTCTTGCTGACCTTGGCTCCCCCAGATGGGATTAATGAAAGAACCGTGATAATGTGCTAGGTTATAGTAAGCATTGTCTTGCTGACCATTGCTAGACAGATGGGATGTAATGAAAGAACCGTGATAATGTCCTAGGTTATAGTACGCATTGTCTTGCTGACCTTGGCTAGACAGATGGGATTAATGAAAGAATCGTGACAATGCCCTTGGTTATAGTACGCATTGTCTTGCTGACCTTGGCTCCCCCAGATGGGATTAATGAAAGAACCCTGATAATGTGCTAGGTTATAGTAAGGATTGTCTTGCTGACCATTGCTAGACAGATGGGATGTAAACAAAAGAGAACCCTGACAATGTAATATATTGAAGTAAGGACAGACAGATGGGATGTAATGAAAGAACCATGACAATGCCCTTGGTTATAGTAAGCATTGTCTTGCTGACCTTGGCTCCCCCAGATCGGATTAATGAAAGAACCCTGATAATGTGCTAGGTTATAGTAAGCATTGTCTTGCTGACCATTGCTAGACAGATGGGATGTAATGAAAGAACCGTGATAATGTCCTAGGTTATAGTAAGGATTGTCTTGCTGACCTTGGCTAGACAGATGGGATGTAATGAAAGAACCGTGATAATGTCCTAGGTTATAGTAAGCATTGTCTTGCTGACCTTGGCTAGACAGATGGGATGTAATGAAAGAATCGTGACAATGCCCTTGGTTATAGTACGCATTGTCTTGCTGACCTTGGCTCCCCCAGATGGGATTAATGAAAGAACCGTGATAATGTCCTAGGTTATAGTAAGCATTGTCTTGATGACCTTGGTTCCCCCAGATGGGATTAATGAAAGAACCTTGATAATGTCCTAGGTTATAGTAAGGGTTGTCTTGCTGACCTTGGCTAGACAGATGGGATGTAATGAAAGAATCGTGATAATGTCCTAGGTTATAGTACGCATTGTCTTGATGACCTTGGCTCCCCCAGATGGGATTAATGAAAGAACCGTGATAATGTCCTAGGTTATAGTAAGGGTTGTCTTGCTGACCTTGGCTAGACAGATGGGATGTAATGAAAGAATCGTGACAATGCCCTTGGTTATAGTACGCATTGTCTTGCTGACCTTGGCTCCCCCAGATGGGATTAATGAAAGAACCGTGATAATGTGCTAGGTTATAGTAAGCATTGTCTTGCTGACCATTGCTAGACAGATTGGATTAATGAAAGAACCGTGATAATGTCCTAGGTTATAGTAAGCATTGTCTTGCTGACCTTGGCTAGACAGATGGGATTAATGAAAGAACCGTGCGTTGATGACTTTGGTTAAGTAGTTGTAGTTATGAGAGATGGGATGTGAGATGGGATGTAATGAAAGAACCATGATAAGGTCTTAAGATAATAAGGGTTGTCTTGCTGACCTTGGCTCCCCCAGATGGGATTAATGAAAGAACCCTGATAATGTCCTTGGTTAAAGTAAGGATTGTCTTGCTGACCATTGCTAGACAGATGGGATGTAACAAAAGAACCCTGACAATGTAATATATTGAAGTAAGGATTGTCTTGTTGGCCTTGGCTAGACAGATGTGTTGAAATAAAAGAACCATGACAATGTGATATACTAAAGTTAAGTTGATCTTAATGACCTTAGCCTCAGCCTTGGCTCTTGTGGCGGCGTCCATCCATCGAGTCTGTCTTAGAAGGTCAGCCAGTGCTTGCTTTGTCGTTTCAGTAATATCTGTCACCTAAAAGTTTAAAATGTGTTCCTTTTTAAGATATATCACATAAACGGATCAGTGACGACAACGGGGATTCATAGAAAGGGTTTGAAAACACATTTATTCGCATTATGATCACAATTACTCATATCATTTACGTGGGAAATGTGACGGGAAAATGTCCCACAATGGAACGTAGCTGAAGTAAATCACATTTATTCTTGTGGGGCACGCTGTTGTTAAACAACTGGCTATTGAAGTAGTTTTCTGTGTTGGTTGCACATCAAGCTATCACGTCATGTGCTACCTTTTCTTTATTCTGGTCTGCAAAATGGTCGACGATGTACAGCTGGCCCAGGGCTTCAGGCATGACGTAGCTGACGTAGCCGAAGCAGTATTCCCATCTGCCCGGGAACTCCGTCCTCCCCGACGTGTCGAACAACACCTCCCTGTTGGCGTGGATATATTCCGTCGACAAGTCCTCGACATATACCTCCATCACCCGCCAGATCAGGTAGTTGTGAAGCATCCTGGGAAATACCAGTACTTTATGGCTTCATCATTGCTTGACAAACCGTAATATAAATACGTTGTAAACGTCTCTCGAGGGTGATACGGCCTGGTGTCCGCCTTTTTGTAGCAGTTTCACTCCGAGCCGGTGTAAGTTTACATTGTATTTAATTTACCGCCATGTTAAATGTACAAAACATCATCTTATTTCATTTTGAAGACCGATAAGCTCACTACCGACTATATGACATGTAAACAAAATGGCGTCTCTCGACAGGATTTTTAAAATCAGTGAAACATATTCTGACAAGCTTAAAACTGCTATAAAAAAGGTAATTATGTTTAAGATGAGTGTGCAAACGATACGATGTATGAAACAGTTTAAGAAAGCAGTGATACTCGGTAAAATATATGTATACATAGTGAACTCAAAAACAGCTAATCGAACGTTTTTTTAACTCTGTGCACTGCATGCGTCATATTATGACGTCATGCGATTGTTAGCGATACAGCTTCTCGGCGGAGAGTTTGGCGGTTACCGTGGCAGCGGGTGATATTTTTTCCAGTTGCCACCCTCCTTGAGGGCTGACACGAAAACTTGTTAAAAGCGTCATTGACCAGTGAAGGGTAAAAGATAAGTACAACTAAGATAAGCCTACAACCTATAATACATTCATGTAAAACATACATAACAGCACCATGTTCTTTGCGAAATCCGAATTGTAGAGCGTCAAGAAAGGATGGACAGTATATGGTGCACCATTTTTCCAATCTATGTAAGTTACTTCTTCAAGTAATTTCCCCATACATGGTGTTAGAGTAATGACGCTGTAGTTTTATGGATTTGGTTTGTCTTGTTTACCTTTATATAGAGAGATTACAATTTCAACTCCATTGTTCTTTGGAAGAATGTTTCGAGAATCATGTCAAATAGAAAGGTGATTAAGTTTCTCGAGAAGGCTACTGCTTGCAAACAACAAAGTGTCATTGCATCATTATCTGGCCCCTTATTCTTACACAGAATGCGTATTTGTAAAGACACTTCTCAGTGACCTACAGTTTTGTACAGCCTTCATCTGTTTCTGTTTCATCGTTTTTGTATCCTTGATTGCCTTCAGCCTTTTGCTTATGTGACGTTTGAAATTATCATTAAACCTTTCAGAGTAGTAGGGCTGCGATATGTCAGCAGAGTAATCGGCCCAGAGTTTGTATAGTCAGAGCATATTACAGAAGTAGATCACAGTCACGGACCTTAGTCACATATATTTTGACATTTCTAGCTGGATCAGCTGAGCTTGTATGTCCTGTGTGATGACCAAGGGGACATAACTCATACCTTGCTTGGTCTCCCGAAGATAGGCTCTTTATCATGGCGACAAGCCCCTTCAGGTATTCCAGATTGAAGACGACGGTGCTTTTTCTTCCATTTACTCCTGCTGTGCTGAAGAGGTATGCGGACTGCTGGAGGAAGTCTATCTGGAAAGGGAACAGGACAGGGACAGTGTATCGTGTTGTCATTGAAGACAGTCTATGGATAATGTAAAGGTAGGCGGACTGCTGGAGGAAGTCTATCTGGAAAGGGAACAGGACAGGGACAGTGTATCGTGTTGTCATTGAAGACAGTCTGTGGATAATGTAAAGGTAGGCGGACTGCTGGAGGAAGTCTATCTGGAAAGGGAACAGGACAGGGACAGTGTATCGTGTTGTCATTGAAGACAGTCTGTGGATAATGTAAAGGTAGGCGGACTGCTGGAGGAAGTCTATCTGGAAAGGGGACGAGACAGGGACAGTGTATCTGTTGTCATTGAAGACAGTCTGTGGATAATGTAAAGGTAGGCGGACTGCTGGAGGAAGTCTATCTGGAAAGGGGACGAGACAGGGACAGTGTATCGTGTTGTCATTGAAGACAGTCTGTGGATAATGTAAAGGTAGGCGGACTGCTGGAGGAAGTCTATCTGGAAAGGGGACGAGACAGGGACAGTGTATCGTGTTGTCATTGAAGACAGTCTGTGGATAACGTAAAGGTAGGCGGACTGCTGGAGGAAGTCTATCTGGAAAGGAACGAGACAGGGACAGTGTATCGTGTTGTCATTGAAGACAGTCTGTGGATAACGTAAATGTATGCGGACTGCTGGAGGAAGTCTATCTGGAAAGGGGACGAGACAGGGACAGTGTATCTGTTGTCATTGAAGACAGTCTGTGGATAATGTAAAGGTAGGCGGACTGCTGGAGGAAGTCTGTCTGGAAAGGGAACGAGACAGGGACAGTGTATCGTGTTGTCATTGAAGACAGTCTGTGGATAATGTAAAGGTAGGCGGACTGCTGGAGGAAGTCTGTCTGGAAAGGGAACGAGACAGGGACAGTGTATCGTGTTGTCATTGAAGACAGTCTGTGGATAATGTAAAGGTAGGCGGACTGCTGGAGGAAGTCTATCTGGAAAGGGGACGAGACAGGGACAGTGTATCGTGTTGTCATTGAAGACAGTCTGTGGATAACGTAAAGGTAGGCGGACTGCTGGAGGAAGTCTGTCTGGAAAGGGAACGAGACAGGGACAGTGTATCGTGTTGTCATTGAAGACAGTCTGTGGATAATGTAAAGGTAGGCGGACTGCTGGAGGAAGTCTATCTGGAAAGGGAACGAGACAGGGACAGTGTATCGTGTTGTCATTGAAGACAGTCTGTGGATAACGTAAAGGTAGGCGGACTGCTGGAGGAAGTCTATCTGGAAAGGGAACAGAGACAGGGACAGTGTATCGTGTTGTCATTGAAGACAGTCTGTGGATAACGTAAATGCATGCGGACTGCTGGAGGAAGTCTATCTGGAAAGGGGACGAGACAGGGACAGTGTATCGTGTTGTCATTGAAGACAGTCTGTGGATAACGTAAAGGTAGGCGGACTGCTGGAGGAAGTCTATCTGGAAAGGAACAGGACAGGGACAGTGTATCGTGTTGTCATTGAAGACAGTCTGTGGATAATGTAAAGGTAGGCGGACTGCTGGAGGAAGTCTATCTGAAAGGAACAGGACAGGGACAGTGTATCGTGTTGTCATTGAAGACAGTCTGTGGATAACGTAAAGGTAGGCGGACTGCTGGAGGAAGTCTATCTGGAAAGGGAACGAGACAGGGACAGTGTATCGTGTTGTCATTGAAGACAGTCTGTGGATAACGTAAAGGTAGGCGGACTGCTGGAGGAAGTCTATCTGGAAAGGGAACAGGACAGGGACAGTGTATCGTGTTGTCATTGAAGACAGTCTGTGGATAACGTAAAGGTAGGAGGACTGCTGGAGGAAGTCTATCTGGAAAGGGAACGAGACAGGGACAGTGTATCGTGTTTTGTTATTGAAGACAAACTGTGAATAACGTAAATCCTTCGTGCTTCAATTTCTTTCTCACTAAGCTAGGTTTAATTTTCCTCAGCCAGCAATACTTACCAGTCCTCCAGTGACCGTGGTCAGTTCATCCAGGGTCAGCTGGTTGGAGTAAGCGTAAGGGTTGATTTGCCATGGCGATTTCAGCGCCAACTACAACAACGATACAAGGATCACATTTCAGGAAGTGACGTTCACAGTCATGGAAGGGAAAAACCACAAATACATAATGTATACATATTGCCACTGATCTAGTGTTTACGGGTCTTTATACAGATAATGGTAAGGATTGGGTAAGGATAAAATACCGTTCGCGTTAAGTCTTAACCTTTTTTTTATATAAGGGGCCCAGAAGTCATATTCGCCGTAATTTGTCCTGCAGAGTTGCCTTAGATGTACATAAACCATGTTGTCCTTCCTTAGATGTACATAAACCATGTTGTCCTGCCTTAGATGTACATAAACCATGTTGTCCTGCCTTAGATGTACATAAACCATGTTGTCCTGCCTTAGATGTACATAAACCATGTTGTCGGGGGTTTGAATTCGTCCAGATTCTTCTTCTCTATATTCTCTATATTCCCGCACCATACACCTAGTCAAGTGGTAAACGTCGTGTGTCACCTTCACTACTCTTCAAGTTGACACGCCGTGGAACAACTGAAAACTTATCAAAGCGGCTTGAAACTCACTCACTCACTCACTCACTCACTCTCACACTCACTCACTCACTCACTCACTCACTCACTCACACACTCACTCACTCACTCACTCACTCACACTCACTCACTCACTCACTCACTCACACACTCACTCACACACTCACTCACTCACTCACTCACACACTCACTCACTCACTCACTAGTAGGTAATTGTGACACACCTCAGCTATCTTGGCTTCTATGGTAAAGGCGTCATCTACAAACGTGCTGACTCGCTCCTGCTGCGTTGTGGCGTCGATACTGACATTAGAGTCTCTCACGACCAGGTTGGCGACTCGTGCAATGAACGTCTTATAATCATCCTGGATCTGCACAAACATTACAAACAATCAGCTCAGGTAAACAATGCTGTATGAGGATCGTGACTGACTTATTACCACCATAGACATTACCGCCATGGACAGTACCGTCATGGACATTACCGTCATGGACATTACTGCCATGGACAGTACCGCCATGGACATACCCGCCATGGACATTACTGTCATGGACATTACCACTATGGACATTACCGTCATGGACATTACCATCATGGACATTACCGTCATGGACATTACCACTATGGACATTACCATCATGGACATTACCGCCATGGACATTACCGTCATGGACATTACCGCCATGAACATTACCATCATGGACATTACCGCCATGAACATTACCATCATGGACACTACCGTCATGGACATTACCATCATGGACATTACCATCATGGACATTACCATCATGGACATTACCACCATGGACATTACCATCATGGACATTACTGCTATGGACATTACCGTCATGGACATTACCGGCATGAACATTACCATCATGAACATTACCACTATGGACATTACCATCATGGACATTACTGCTATGGACATTACCGTCATGGACATTACCATCATGGACATTACTGCTATGGACATTACCGGCATGAACATTACCATCATGAACATTACCATCATGAACATTACCGTCATGGACATTACCGTCATGGACATTACCGGCATGGACATTACCATCATGGACATTACCGTCATGGACATTACCGTCATGGACATTACCGTCATGGACATTACCATCATGGACATTACTCCTATGGACATTACCGTCATGGACATTACCGGCATGAACATTACCATCATGAACATTACCGTCATGGACATTACCGTCATGGACATTACCGGCATGAACAATACCATCATGGACATTACCGTCATGGACATTACCGTCATGGACATTACCGTCATGGACATTACCATCATGAACATTACCGTCATGGACATTACCGTCATGGACATTACCATCATGAACAATACCATCATGGACATTACCGTCATGGACATTACCGTCATGGACATTACCGTCATGGACATTACCGTCATGGACATTACCATCATGAACATTACCGTCATGGACATTACCGTCATGGACATTACCGGCATGGACATTACCATCATGGACATTACCGTCATGGACATTACCACTATGGACATTACCATCATGGACATTACTGCTATGGACATTACCGTCATGGACATTACCGGCATGAACATTACCATCATGAACATTACCGTCATGGACATTACCACTATGGACATTACCATCATGGACATCACCGGCATGAACTTTACCATCATGGACATTACCGCTATGGACATTACCACTATGGACATTACCATCATGGACATTACCGTCATGGACATTACCACTATGGACGTTCATCATGGACATTCCCACTATGGACATTACCACTATGGACATTACCATCATGGACATTACCGTCATGGACATTACCGTCATGGACATTACCAGCATGAACAATACCATCATGAACATTACCGTCATGGACATTACCACTATGGACATTACCATCATGGACATTACCATCATGAACATTACCGTCATGGACATTACCACTATGGACATTACCGGCATGAACATTACCATCATGAACATTACCATCATGGACATTACCACTATGGACATTACTGCCATGGACAGTACCGCCATGGACATACCCGCCATGGACATTACCGTCATGGACATTACCGGCATGAACATTACCATCATGGACATTACCATCATGGACATTACCGTCATGAACATTACCATCATGGACATTACCGCTATGGACATCACCGCTATGGACATTACCGCTATGGACATTACCATCATGGACATCACCGGCATGAACATTACCATCATGGACATTACCGCTATGGACATTACCATCATGGACATTACCGCTATGGACAGTACCGCCATGGACATACCCGCCATGGACATTCATCATGGACATTACCATGGACATTACCATGGACATTACCATCATGAACATTACCATCATGGACATTACCATCATGGACATCACCGGCATGAACTTTACCATCATGGACATTACCGCTATGGACATTACCACTATGGACATTACCATCATGGACATTACCGTCATGGACATTACCACTATGGACGTTCATCATGGACATTACCACCATGGACTTTACCGCCATGGACATTACCGTCATGGACATAACCACATTGGACATTACCGTCATGGACATTACCATCATGGACATTACCACCATGGACATTACTGTCATGGACATTACCACCATGGACATTACCGTCATGGACATTACCATCATGGACATTACCGCCAAGGACATCACCAGCATGAACATTACCATCATGGACATTACCACTATGGACATTACCACTATGGACATTACCATCGTGGACATTACCGTCATGGACATTACCACTATGTACGTTCATCATGGACATTACCACCATGGACATTACCGTCATGGACATAACCACATTGGACAATACCGTCATGGACATTACCATCATGGACATTACCATTATGGACATTACCGTCATGGACATTACCACCATGGACATTACCGTCATGGACATTACTGCCTTGGACATTACCACCATGGACATTACCGTCATGGACATTACCATCATGGACATTACCGCCATGGACATTACCGTCATGGACATTACCACCATGGACATTACCGCATTGGACGTTACCGTCATGGACATTACCGTCATGGACATTACCGCTATGGACATTACCACCAAGGACATTACCGCATTGGACATTGCCGCATTGGGACATTACCGTTATGGACATTATCGTCATGGACATTACGGCCATGGACATTACCGTTATGGACATTACTGTCATGGACATTGCCGTAATGGACATTACTGTCATGGACATTACCGTCATGGACATTACCGCCATGGACACTACCATCATGGACATTACTGCCATGGACATTACCGTTATGGACATTACCGTCATGGACATTACCGTTATGGACATTACTGTCATGGACATTACCGTCATGGACATTACCGTTATGGACATTACTGTCATGGATATTACCGTTATGGACATTACTGTCATGGACATTACCGTCATGGACATTACTGTCGTGAACGTTACCACCATGGACATTACCGTTATGGACATTACCGTCATGGACATTACCGTTATGGACATTACCGTCATGGACATTACCGTTATGGACATTACTGTCATGGACATTACCGTCATGGACATTACCATCATGGACATTACTGTCATGGACATTTCTGTTATGGACATTACTGTCATGGACATTACCGTCATGGACATTACTGTCATGGACAGTACCGTTATGGACATTACCGCCATGGACATTACCGTTATGGACATTACTGTCATGGACATTACCGTTATGGACATTACTGTCATGACATTACCGTCATGGACATTACCGCCATGGACATTACCGCCATGGACATTACCGTTATGGACATTACTGCCATGGACATTACCGTTATGGACATTACTGTCATGGACATTACCGTTATGGACATTACTGTCATGGACATTACCGTTATGGACATTACTGCCATGGACATTACCATCATGGACATTACCGCCAAGGACATTACCATCATGGACATTACTGTCATGGACATTACCGTCATGGACATTACCGTCATGGACATTACCGCCATGGACATTACCGTTATGGACATTACTGCCATGGACATTACCGTTATGGACATTACTGTCATGGACATTACCGTCATGGACATTACCGTTATGGACATTACTGTCATGGACATTACCGTTATGGACATTACTGCTATGGACATTACCGTCATGGACATTACCGCCAAGGACATTACCATCATGGACATTACTGTCATGGACATTACCGTCATGGACATTACCGTCATTGACATTACCGTTATGGACATTACTGTCATGGACATTACCGTTATGGACATTACTGTCATGGACATTACCGTCATGGACATTACCGTTATGGACATAACTGTTATGGACATAACTTCCATGGCCAGTTCCGCCTGTAATTTGACAGACGGCTTGTCATAATTTTCAATAAATGTTCCATTTGGCATAACACTTGAAACTCAAAGTATAAACCTGAGTTCGAACCCACACTCTAGAGTAATCGCCACCACACACAATGCTTTCTCTAACAAGTGTTGGCGCGGCTCACATGGCGGACTGGCTTTGTACACTAAAAAAAAAAAAACGCACAGGCGTTTTCAGCAGTTCAGTTCGATATATTTTGACAGCAATCGTCATTAAGACAATTTCTTTGTTTGAATATCGTTGTTGGGAACTGTGCGGCATCCCAACATGTGTTTGTAAACGTTGGCCATAAAAGATAAAAACGATACATGAAAAGTGCACAAACAGTTTTCCAAGCAATACACGTGCAATGTGTAGAGACATCGACTAAGTGCATTCACAAACAGTTTTCCAAGCAATACACGTGCAATGTGTAGTGACATCGACTATAAAAGGCCAAACCAAATTCATCATTTCATTACAAAATTTACGACTGAATGACTGACTGAGTTTGGTTTTACGCCGCTTTTAGCAATCCAGCAACATCACGGCGGGGGACACCAGAAATGGGCTTCACACATTGTACCCATGTGGGGATTCGAACCCGGGTCTTCGGCGTGACGAGCCAACGCTTTAACCATTCGGGTACCCAACCGCCCCATAATATTTACGACGTACACGAAGATCAACAATGCCAAGATTGAATGCTACTGACCGAAAATCGCCATTGGACGTTTGGAAGCAGGGAAGGCCCAGTCTGCCGTTGCAAGACACTTCACCGTCAACCACAGAATCATATCTCGCTATACCCACTTCACCGTCAACCACAGTACCATATCTGGCTATACCCACTTGACCGTCAACCACAGCACCATATCTCACTATACCCACTTGACCGTCAACCACAGCACCATATCTCGCTATACCCATTTGACCGTCAACCACAGCACCATATCTCGCTATACCCACTTGACCGTCAACCACAGTACCATATCTCGCTATACCCACTTGACCGTCAACCACAGCACCATATCTCGCTATACCCACTTCACCACAACCACAGCACCATATCTCGCTATACCCACTTGACCGTCAACCACAGCACCATATCTCGCTATACCCACTTCACCGTCAACCACAGTACCATATCTCGCTATACCCACTTGACCGTCCAACCACAGCACCATATCTCGCTATACCCACTTCACCGTCAACCACAGTACCATATATCGCTATACCCACTTGACCGTCAACCACAGTACCATATCTCGCTATACCCACTTGACCGTCAACCACAGTACCATATCTCGCTATACCCACTTTCACCGTCAACCACAGTACCATATCTCGCTATACCCATACCCACTTCACCGCTCCACCACAGTACCATATCTCGCTATACCCACTTCACCGTCAACCACAGTACCATATCTCGCTATACCCACTTGACCGTCAACCACCAGTACCATATCTCGCTATACCCACTTCACCGTCAACGACAGCACCATATTCTCGCTATACCCACTTCACCGTCAACCACAGTACCATATCTCGCTTATACCCACTTCACCGTCAACCACAGTACCATATCTCGCTATACCCACTTCACCCGTCAACCACAGCACCATATCTTGCTATACCCACTTCACCGTCAACCACAGCACCATATCTCGCTATACCCACTTGACCGTCAACCACAGCACCATATCTCGCTATACCCACTTCACCGTCAACCACAGTACCATATCTCGCTATACCCACTTCACCGTCAACCACTGTACCATATGTCGCTATACCCACTTGACCGTCAACCACAGTACCATATCTCGCTATACCCACTTGACCGTCAACCACAGTACCATATCTCGCTATACCCACTTGACCGTCAACCACAGTACCATATCTCGCTATACCCACTTGACCGTCAACCACAGTACCATATCTCGCTATACCCACTTGACTATCAACCACAGTACCATATCTCCTCGCTATACCCACTTGACCGTCAACCACAGTACCATATCTCGCTATACCCACTTGACCATCAACCACAGTACCATATCTCGCTATACCCACTTGACCACAACCACAGTACCATATCTCGCTATACCCACTTCACCGTCAACCACAGCACCATATCTCGCTATACCCACTTGACCGTCCAACCACAGCACCATATCTCGCTATACCCACTTCACCGTCAACCACAGCACCATATCTCGCTATACCCACTTCACCGCCAACCACAGCACCATATCTCTCGCTATACCCACTTGATCCGTCAACCACAGCACCATATCTCGCTATACCCACTTGACCGTCAACCACAGTACCATATCTCGCTATACTCACTTCACCGTCAACCACAGTACCATATCTCGCTATACCCACTTCACCGTCAACCACAGTACCATATCTCTCGCTATACCCACTTTGACCGTCAACCACAGCACCATATCTCAGCTATACCCACTTCACTGTCAACCACAGTACCATATATCTCACTATACCCACTTCACTGCGTCAACCACAGTACCATATCTCGCTATACCCACTTCACCGTCAACCACAGTACCATATCTCGCTATACCCACTTCACCGTCAACCACAGTACCATATCTCGCTATACCCACTTGACCGTCAACCACAGTACCATATCTCGCTATACCCACTTCACCACCATCCACAGCACTAACGACAGCACCATATCTCGCTATACCCACTTCACCGTCAACCACAGTACCATATCTCTTTATACCCACTTCACCGTCAACCACAACTACAGTATATATTCTCGCTATACCCACTTCACCGTCCAACCACAGCACCATATCTCGCTATACCCACTTCACTGTCAACCACAGCACCATATCTCGCTATACCCACTTGACCGTCAACCACAGCACTATATCTCGCTATACCCACTTGACCATCAACCACAGTACCATATCTCGCTATACCCACTTCACCGTCAAACCACAGTACCATATCTCGCTATACCCACTTGACCATCAACCACAGTACCATATCTCGCTATACCCACTTGACCGCCAACCACAGTACCATATCTCGCTATACCCACTTCAATTCACAACCACAGTACCATATCTCGCTATACCCACTTGACTGTCAACCACAGCACCATATCTCGCTATACCCACTTCACCGCCAACCACAGCACCATATCTCGCTATACCCACTTCACCGTCAACCACAGCACCATATCTCGCTATACCCACTTGACCGTCAACCACAGCACCATATCTCGCTATACCCACTTGACCGTCAACCACAGTACCATATATCTCGCTATACTCACTTCACCGTCAACCACAGTACCATATCTCGCTATACCCACTTCACCGTCAACCACAGTACCATATCTCGCTATACCCACTTGACTGTCCAACCACAGCACCATATCTCGCTATACCCACTTCACCGTCAACCACAGTACCATATCTCGCTATACCCACTTCACCGTCAACCACAGTACCATATCTCGCTATACCCACTTCACCGTCAACCACAGTACCATATCTCGCTATACCCACTTCACCGTCAACCACAGTACCATATCTCGCTATACCCACTTGACCGTCAACCACAGTACCATATCTCGCTATACCCACTTCACCGTCAACGACAGCACCATATCTCGCTATACCCACTTCACCGTCAACCACAGTACCATATCTCGCTATACCCACTTCACCGTCAACCACAGTACCATATCTCGCTATACCCACTTCACCGTCCACCACAGCACCATATCTCGCTATACCCACTTCACCGTCCCACCACAGTACCATATCTCGCTATACCCACTTCACCGTCAACCACAGTACCATATCTCGCTATACCCACTTGACCGTCAACCACGGTACCATATCTCGCTATACCCACTTCACCGTCAACCACAGTAGTACCATATCTCGATTGTGGCATCGATATGTCCGCTTCATTTCAACCCAAGATCGAACCCAGATAAGGAAGACCAAGGTGACCACTCCAGCTCAGGACTGATTCATCCGGGTGTTTCCCCTACGTCACCGATTTGCTACAGCAACGGACACTGCAGGACAGGTGCCTGGTCTTCGGAGAATTTCCGACCAAACCATCAGAAATTGTCTGAGAGAAGTGGAAATTCGAGCATATCGACCAAAGGTTGGACCTGTCCTGACACGACCACATAGACAATGACTCAACAGGGAACAGGCATGGAACCTGGAGAGCTGGCGTTTTGTTCAGCGATGAATCGCGTTTCCTCCTGCCACGACGGGATGGAAGACAACGTGTCTATCGACGTCGACACGAAGATTTTGCGAAGAAATGCGATCAACAGGTAGACATGCAGATTTGGTGTAGAAAGCGTCATGGTGTGGGGGGCCATGTTCTACGCGGGTAGTGGTTCAAGGCAATCTTACAGCAAATTTCTACATCGACCAAATCCTGCGACCTCACCTACTCCCACATTTTAACCGCCAGAGGGAGCTGTTTCAATACGCAACGCTCGACCCAACAGAGCTCGTAACAGGTGCCTATCTCGCCAATGTAAACGTCAATGTCCTTCCCTGGCCTTCCTAATCGCTAGATATGAACCCGATCGAGCCTCTATGGGACGAACTTGATCGATCTATTTACAGTGTCAATAAGCATAAATATAGGCAATGACCGCCGCCAATCTAGTAACATAAAGTCACCTGTATATAAAATGTCAGTTTTTTAACGCTGCCAACACGTAACAGAGGCGTGGACTCGACGCAACACATGGAGGGGCCGCCCCTCACTCGCTCTGTGTCGGTCTACTGCACGAATCGGCAATCAGTTGAGGTTGATCAGCTGAGGCTGGAGGTTGGTCATCTGATGCCCATGCTTCGATATGTTTACATAGCCATTTATTGTGTTGTGTAACAGGGTACTAGAAAAACAACCTTCTTTAGCCATGAAGTAGTTCCGGCAAGTGATATTTTCACTGCAGCGAACAATATATATACTCATGCAAACGAATAAGGGAAAACATGAAAGTATAAGTGTTCCTTTAGTTATTTCCAGATTTGCACTCACAGTGCAATATATAATTTGTTTGATTGGCATTTCTTATTAGTGAAATATATAGCATGGCAAGAACCCCAGAAAAGAGTATAGGAACATTTGCACTTTTGTGTGTTCCTTTATTCGTTTCCATGAGTATATGTCACTTTTCAGAACCCTCTGCCTTTGCCATAAAGTATATTATGCAAATACATGCACCTGTATGTCTATCACCGGATTGTGGCCCCAGACCCGATTATTTACAGTTAACTTTGCACACAACCAACAGTAATTATGAAATTACATCATACTATTGCTCCCATCCATGAATGATCCTACCTTCTTTGCATACGGGCTGACGTAGTAGTACCAGTACATGTGCCGACTGGTTCCTGCCGGGTAGATCTGGAACAGTCAGTTGAGATCTCAGGCGCAGCAATATGGCGGACACAACTAGGCTTCACACACACTGCTCGTCTCAACCCAAGATTGTCCATACCGATAGCAAGGCATGTATGTGTTTTAGGCTGGCGTTGTATAAGTTGTGTTGTGTTGGTGTGGGTGTGTCAATGTGGCTGTCAGTATAGGTGCCAGTGTGGGTGTCACAATGGATGTCAGTATAGGTGCCAGTGTGGGTGTCACAATGGATGTCAATATAGGTGTCAACCACAGTACCATATCTCGCTATACCCACTTGACCGTCAACCACAGTACCATATCTCGCTATACCCACTTGACCATCAACCACAGTACCATATCTCGCTATACCCACTTGACCGTCAACCACAGTACCATATCTCGCTATACCCACTTGACCATCAACCACAGTACCATATCTCGCTATACCCACTTGACCGTCAACCACAGTACCATATCTCGCTATACCCACTTCACCGTCAACCACAGTACCATATCTCGCTATACCCACTTGACCGTCAACCACAGCACCATATCTCGCTATACCCACTTCACCGTCAACCACAGCACCATATCTCGCTATACCCACTTCACCGTCAACCACAGCACCATATCTCGCTATACCCACTTGACCGTCAACCACAGCACCATATCTCGCTATACCCACTTGACCGTCAACCACAGTACCATATCTCGCTATACTCACTTCACCGTCAACCACAGTACCATATCTCGCTATACCCACTTCACCGTCAACCACAGTACCATATCTCGCTATACCCACTTGACCGTCAACCACAGCACCATATCTCGCTATACCCACTTCACCGTCAACCACAGTACCATATCTCGCTATACCCACTTCACCGTCAACCACAGTACCATATCTCGCTATACCCACTTCACCGTCAACCACAGTACCATATCTCGCTATACCCACTTCACCGTCAACCACAGTACCATATCTCGCTATACCCACTTGACCGTCCAACCACAGTACCATATCTCTCGCTATACCCACTTCACCGTCAACGACAGCACCATATCTCGCTATACCCACTTCACCGTCCAACCACAGTACCATATCTCGCTATACCCACTTCACCGTCCAACCACAGTACCATATCTCGCTATACCCACTTCACCGTCAACCACAGCACCATATCTCGCTATACCCACTTTCACCGTCAACCACAGCACCATATCTCGCTATACCCACTTGACCGTCAACCACAGCACCATATCTCGCTATACCCACTTCACCGTCAACCACAGTACCATATCTCGCTATACCTACTTCACCGTCAACCACTGTACCATATCTGTCGCTATACCCACTTCGACCGTCAACCACAGTACCATATCTCGCTATACCCACTTGACCGTCAACCACAGTACCATATTCGCTATACCCACTTGACCGTCAACCACAGTACCATATCTCGCTATACCCACTTGACCGTCAACCACAGTACCATATCTCGCTATACCCACTTCTGACCATCAACCACGGTACCATATCTCGCTATACCCACTTGACCGTCAACCACAGTACCATATCTCGCTATACCCACTTGACCATCAACCACAGTACCATATCTCATTTATACCCACTTTGACCGTCAACCACAGTACCATATCTGCGCTATACCCACTTCACCGTCAACCACAGTACCATATCTCGCTATACCCATTGACCGTCAACCACAGGCACCATATCTCGCTATACCCACTTCACCGTCAACCACAGCACCATATCTCGCTATACCCACTTCACCGTCAACCACAGCACCATATCTCGCTATACCCACTTTGACCGTCAGCCACAGCACCATATCTCGCTATACCCACTTGACCGTCAACCACAGTACCATATCTCGCTATACCCACTTCACCGTCAACCACAGTACCATATCTCGCTATACCCACTTCACCGTCAACCACAGTACCATATCTCGCTATACCCACTTCACCGTCAACCACAGCACCATATCTCGCTATACCCACTTGACCGTCAACCACAGTACCATATCTCGCTATACCCACTTCACCGTCAACCACAGTACCATATCTCGCTATACCCACTTCAACGTCCACCACAGCACCATATCTCGCTATACCCACTTCACCGTCCACCACAGTACCATATCTCGCTATACCCACTTCACCGTCAACCACAGTACCATATCTCGCTATACCCACTTGACCGTCAACCACAGTACCATATCTCGCTATACCCACTTCACCGTCAACCACAGTACCATATCTCGATTGTGGCATCGATATGTCCGCTTCATTTCAACCCAAGATCGAACCCAGATAAGGAAGACCAAGAGTGACCACTCCAGCTCAGGACTGATTCATCCGGGTGTTTCCCCTACGTCACCGATTTGCTACAGCAACGGACACTGCAGGACAGGTGCCTGGTCTTCGGAGAATTTCCGACCAAACCATCAGAAATTGTCTGAGAGAAGTGGAAATTCGAGCATATCGACCAAAGGTTGGACCTGTCCTGACACGACCACATAGACAATGACTCAACAGGGAACAGGCATGGAACCTGGAGAGCTGGCGTTTTGTTCAGCGATGAATCGCGTTTCCTCCTGCCACGACGGGATGGAAGACAACGTGTCTATCGACGTCGACACGAAGATTTTGCGAAGAAATGCGATCAACAGGTAGACATGCAGATTTGGTGAAAGCGTCATGGTGTGGGGGCCATGTTCTACGCGGGTAGTGGTTCAAGGCAATCTTACAGCAAATTTCTACATCGACCAAATCCTGCGACCTCACCTACTCCCACATTTTAACCGCCAGAGGGAGCTGTTTCAATACGCAACGCTCGACCCAACAGAGCTCGTAACAGGTGCCTATCTCGCCAATGTAAACGTCAATGTCCTTCCTGGCCTTCCTAATCGCTAGATATGAACCCGATCGAGCCTCTATGGGACGAACTTGATCGATCTATTTACAGTGTCAATAAGCATAAATATAGGCAATGACCGCCGCCAATCTAGTAACATAAAGTCACCTGTATATAAAATGTCAGTTTTTTAACGCTGCCAACACGTAACAGAGGCGTGGACTCGACGCAACACATGGAGGGGCCGCCCCTCACTCGCTCTGTGTCGGTCTACTGCACGAATCGGCAATCAGTTGAGGTTGATCAGCTGAGGCTGGAGGTTGGTCATCTGATGCCCATGCTTCGATATGTTTACATAGCCATTTATTGTGTTGTGTAACAGGGTACTAGAAAAACAACCTTCTTTAGCCATGAAGTAGTTCCGGCAAGTGATATTTTCACTGCAGCGAACAATATATATACTCATGCAAACGAATAAGGGAAAACATGAAAGTATAAGTGTTCCTTTAGTTATTTCCAGATTTGCACTCACAGTGCAATATATAATTTGTTTGATTGGCATTTCTTATTAGTGAAATATATAGCATGGCAAGAACCCCAGAAAAGAGTATAGGAACATTTGCACTTTTGTGTGTTCCTTTATTCGTTTCCATGAGTATATGTCACTTTTCAGAACCCTCTGCCTTTGCCATAAAGTATATTATGCAAATACATGCACCTGTATGTCTATCACCGGATTGTGTGGCCCAGACCCGATTATTTACAGTTAACTTTGCACACAACCAACAGTAATTATGAAATTACATCATACTATTGCTCCCATCCATGAATGATCCTACCTTCTTTGCATACGGGCTGACGTAGTAGTACCAGTACATGTGCCGACTGGTTCCTGCCGGGTAGATCTGGAACAGTCAGTTGAGATCTCAGGCGCAGCAATATGGCGGACACAACTAGGCTTCACACACACTGCTCGTCTCAACCCAAGATTGTCCATACCGATAGCAAGGCATGTATGTGTTTTAGGCTGGCGTTGTATAAGTTGTGTTGTGTTGGTGTGGGTGTGTCAATGTGGCTGTCAGTATAGGTGCCAGTGTGGGTGTCACAATGGATGTCAATATAGGTGTCAGTGTGGGTGTCACAATGGATGTCAATATAGGTGTCAGTGTGGGTGTCACAATGGATGTCAATATAGGTGTCAGTGTGGGTGTCACAATGGATGTCAATATGGGTGTCAGTGTGGGTGTCACAATGGATGCCAATATGGGTGTCAGTGTGGGTGTCACTATGGATGTCAATATAGGTGTCAGTGTGGGTGTCACAATGGATGTCAATATGGGTGTCAGTGTGGGGAGTCAATACAGGTGCCAATGGATGTCAATATAGATGTCAATATGGGTGTCAGTGTGGGTGTCTCACAATGGATGTCAATATGGGTGTCACTGTGGGTGTCAATATAGGTGCCGGTGTGGGTGTCACAATGGATGTCAATATAGGTGTCAGTGTGGGTGTCACAATGGATGTCAATATGGGTGTCAGTGTGGGTGTCACAATGGATGTCACTATGGGTGTCAGTGTGGGTGTCACAATGGATGTCAATATAGGTGTCAGTGTGGGTGTCACAATGGATGTCAATATAGGTGTTAGTGTGGGAGTCACAATGGATGTCAATATAGGTGTCAGTGTGGGTGTCACAATGGATGTCAATATGGGTGTCAGTGTGGGTGTCAATATAGGTGCCAGTGTGGGTGTCACAATGGATGTCAATATGGGTGTCAGTGTGGGTGTCAATATGGGTGTCAGTGTGGCTGTCGATATGGGTGCCAGTGTGGTTGTCAATATAGGTGTAAGTGTGGTTCTCAATATGGGTGTAAGTGTGCGTGTCAATATGGGTGTAAATGTGGTTGTCAATATAGGTGTAAGTGTGGTTCTCAATATGGGTGTAAGTGTGCGTGTCAATATGGGTGTAAGTGTGGGTGTCAATATGGGTGTAAATGTGGATGTCAATATGGGTGTAAGTGTGGATGTGAATATGGGTGTCAATGTGTTTATCAGTATGGGTGTAAGGGTGGGTGTCAGTATAGGTGTGATTGTGGTTCTCAATATGGGTGTAAGTGTGGGTGTCAATATGGGTGTAAGTGTGGGTGTCAATATAGGTGTAAGTGTGGTTGTTAATATAGGTGTAAGTGTGGTTCGCAATATGGGTGTAAGTGTGCGTGTCAATATGGGTGTAAGTGTGCGTGTCAATATGGGTGTAAGTGTGGTTGTCAATATAGGTGTAAGTGTGGTTCTCAATATGGGTGTAAGTGTGCGTGTCAATATGGGTGTAAGTGTGGGTGTCAATATGGGTGTAAGTGTGGTTGTCAATATAGGTGTAAATGTGGTTGTCAATATGGGTGTAAGTGTGCGTATCAATATGGGTGTAAGTGTGGGTGTCAATATGGGTGTAAGTGTGGATGTCAATATGGGTGTAAGTGTGGATGTGAATATGGGTGTCAATGTGTTTATCAGTATGGGTGTCAGTGTGGGTGTCAGTATGGGTGTAAGTGTGGGTGTCAGTATAGGTGTGATTGTGGTTCTCAATATGGGTGTAAGTGTGGGTGTCAATATGGGTGTAAGTGTGGGTGTCAATATAGGTGTAAGTGTGGTTGTCAATATAGGTGTAAGTGTGGTTGTCAATATGGGTGTAAGTGTGGGTGTCAGTATGGGTGTAAGTGTGGATGTCAATATGGGTGTAAGTGTGGTTGTTAATATAGGTGTAAGTGTGGTTGTCAATATTGGTGTAAGTGTGGGTGTCAATATGGGTGTAAGTGTGGGTGTCAATATGGGTGTAAGGGTGGGTGTCAATAGGTGTGTGATTGTGGTTCTCAATATGGGTGTAAGTGTGGGTGTCAATATGGGTGTAAGTGTGGGTGTCAATATAGGTGTAAAAGTGTGGTTGTTAATATAGGTGTAAGTGTGGTTCGCAATATGGGTGTAAGTGTGGATGTCAATATGGGTGTAAGTGTGTGTGTCAATATGGGTGTAAGTGTGGTTGTCAATATAGGTGTAAGTGTGGTTCTCAATATGGGTGTAAGTGTGCGTGTCAATATGGGTGTAAGTGTGATGGTGTCAGTATGGAGTGTAAGTGTGGTTGTCAATATAGGTGTAAATGTGGTTGTCAATATGGGTGTAAGTGTGCGTATCAATATGGGTGTAAGTGTGGGTGTCAATATGGGTGTAAGTGTGGATGTCAATATGGGTGTAAGTGTGGATGGGAGTCAATGTGTTTATCAATATGGGTGTCAGTGTGGGTGTCAGTATGGGTGTAAGTGTGGGTGTCAGTATGGGTGTAAGTGTGGATGTCAATATGGGTGTAAGTGTGGTTGTTAATATAGGTGTAAGTGTGGTTGTCAATATTGGTGTAAGTGTGGGTGTCAATATGGGTGTAAGTGTGGTTCTCAATATGGGTGTAAGTGTGGGTGTCACAATGGATGTCAATATGGGTGTCAGTGTGGGTGTCACTATGGATGTCAATAGAGGTGTCAGTGTGGGTGTCACAATGGATCTCAATATAGGTGTCAGTGTGGGAGTCACAATGGATGTCAATATAGGTGTCAGTATGGGTGTCTCACAATGGATGTCAATATGGGTGTCAGTGTGGGTGTCAATACAGGTGCCAGTGTGGGTGTCACAATGGATGTCAATATGGGTGTCAGTGTGGGTGTCAATATGGGTGCCAGTGTGGGTGTCACAATGGATGTCAATATAGGTGTCAGTGTGGGTGTCACAATGGATGTCAATATGGGTGTCAGTGTGGGTGTCAATATAGGTGCCAGTGTGGGTGTCACAATGGATGTCAATATGGGTGTCAGTGTGGGTGTCAATATGGGTGTCAGTGTGGCTGTCGATATGGGTGCCAGTGTGGTTGTCAATATAGGTGTAAGTGTGGTTCTCAATATGGGTGTAAGTGTGCGTGTCAATATGGGTGTAAATGTGGTTGTCAATATAGGTGTAAGTGTGGTTCTCAATATGGGTGTAAGTGTGCGTGTCAATATGGGTGTAAGTGTGGGTGTCAATATGGGTGTAAGTGTGGGTGTCAATATGGGTGTAAGTGTGGATGTGAATATGGGTGTCAATGTGTTTATCAGTATGGGTGTAAGGGTGGGTGTCAGTATAGGTGTGATTGTGGTTCTCAATATGGGTGTAAGTGTGGGTGTCAATATGGGGTGTAAGTGTGGGTGTAGTGTGTCAATATAGGTGTAAGTGTGGTTGTCAATATAGGTGTAAGTGTGGTTCACTCAATATGGGTGTAAGTGTGCGTGTCAATATGGGTGTAAGTGTGCGTGTCAATATGGGTGTAAGTGTGGTTGTCAATATAGGTGTAAGTGTGGTTGTCAATATGGGTGTAAGTGTGCGTGTCAATATGGGTGTAAGTGTGGGTGTCAATATGGGTGTAAGTGTGGTCAATATAGGTGTAAATGTGGTTGTCAATATGGGTGTAAGTGTGCGTATCAATATGGGTGTAAGTGTGGGTGTCAATATGGGTGTAAGTGTGGATGTCAATATGGGTGTAAAGTGTGGATGTGAATATATATGGTGTCAATGTGTTTTATCAGTATGGGTGTCAGTGTGGGTGTCAATATATGGGTGTAGTGTGGGTGTCAGTATAGGTGTAAGATGTGTGGTTCCTCAATATGGGTGTAAGTGTGGGTGTCAATATGGGTGTAAGTGTGGGTGTCAATATAGGTGTAAGTGTGGTTGTCAATATAGGTGTAAGTGTGGTTGTCAATATGGGTGTAAGTGTGTGCGTGTCAATATGGGTGTAAGTGTGGATGTCAATATGGGTGTAAGTGTGGTTGTCAATATAGGTGTAAGTGTGGTTCTCAATATTGGTGTAAGTGTGCGTGTCAATATGGGTGTAAGTGTGGGTGTCAATATGGGTGTAAGTGTGGTTGTCAATATAGGTGTAAGTGTGGTTCTCAATATGGGTGTAAGTGTGTGGTATCAATATGGGTGTCAATATAGGTGTCAGTGTAGGTGTGTCAATATGGATGTCAATATAGGTGTGTCAATATGGGTGTGGCTCATGGATGTGAATATAGGTGTCAATGTGTTTATCAGTATGGGTGTCAGTGTGGGTGTCAGTGGTGTGGTGTGGTTCTCAATACAGGTGTAAGTGTGGGTGTCAATATGGGTAAGTAGTGTCAGTGTGGGTGTCAATATAGGGTGCCAGTGTGGGTGTCACATATGGATGTGTAGAATATAGGTTCTCAGTGTGGGTGTACAATGGCGTGTCAATATTGGTGTCAATGTGGGTGTCACAATGGATGTCACTCATTTGGTGTAAGTGTGGGTGTCAATATGGATGTCAATATAGGTGTCAGTGTGGGTGTCAAATGTGGATGTCAATATAGGTGTTAGTGTTTTATCAGTATGGATGTCAATATAGGTGTCAGTGTGGGTGTCACAATGGATGTCAATATAGGTGTCAGTGTGGGTGTCACAATGGATGTCAATATGGGTGTCAGTGTGGGTGTCAATATAGGTGTAAGTGTGCATATCAATATGGGTGTAAGTGTGGGTGTCAATATGGGTGTAAGTGTGGTTGTCAATATAGGTGTAAGTGTGGTTCTCAATATGGGTGTAAGTGTGGGTGTCAATATGGGTGTAAGTGTGGGTGTCAGTATGGGTGTCAGTGTGGGTGTCAGTATAAGTGTGATTGTGGTTCTCAATATGGGTGTAAATGTGGGTGTCAATATGGGTGTAAGTGTGGGTGTCAATATAGGTGTAAGTGTGGTTGTCAATATGGGTGTAAGTGTGGTTCTCAAAATGGGTGTAAGTGTGTGTGCCAATATGGGTGTAAGTGTGGTTGTCAGTATAGGTGTAAGTGTGGTTGTCAATATGGGTGTAAGTGTGCGTGTCAATATGGGTGTCAGTGTGGATGTCAGTGTGGGTGTCAATATAGCTGCCAGTGTGGGTGTCACAATGGATGTCAATATAAGTGTCAGTGTGGGTGTCACAATGGATGTCAATATAGGTGTCAGTGTGGGTGTCACAATGGATGTCAATATGGGTGTCAGTGTGGGTGTCACAATGGATGTCAATATGGGTGTAAGTGTGCGTGTCAATATGGGTGTAAATGTGGTTGTCAATATGGGTGTAAGTGTGGTTCTCAATATGGGTGTATGTGTGGATGTCAATATGGGTGTAAGTGTGGATGTAAATATGGGTGAAAGTGTGGATGTGAATATGGGCGTCAATGTGTTTATCAGTATGGATGTCAGTGTGGTTGTCAGTATGGGTGTCAGTGTGGGTGTCAGTATAGGTGTGAGTGTGGGCGTCAATGTGTTTATCAGTATGGGTGTCAGTGTGGGTGTCAGTATGGCTGTCAGTGTGGTGTCAGCATGGCTGTCAGTGTGGTGTCAGTATGGTTGTCAGTATGCGTATCAGTATGGTTGTCAGTGTGTGTATCAGTATGGCTGTCAGTGTGGTGTCAGTATGGTTGTCAGTGTGAGTATCGGTATGGCTGCCAGTGTGTGTATCAGTATGCCTGTCAGTGTGTGTATCAGTATGGGTGTCAGTGTGGGTGTCAGTATGACTGTCAGTATGGGTGTCAGTATGGTTGTCAGTGTGTGTATCAGTATGGTTGTCAGTGTGTGTATCAGTATGGGTGTCAGTGTGTGTGTCAGTATGGTTGTCAGTGTTTGTATCAGTATGGGTGTCAGTGTGTGTCAGTGTTTGTATCATGGTTGTCAGTGTGTGGTTGTCAGTATGTATGGGTGTCAGTGTGTGTATCAGTATGGTTGTCAGTGTTTGTATCAGTATGGTTGTCAGTGTGTGTATCATGTGGTTGTCAGTGTTTGTATCAGTATGGTTGTCCAGTGTGTATCAGCGGGTGTTGTCAGTGTATGTATCAGCATCAGTATGGTTGTCAGTGTGTGTATCAGTATGGTTGTCAGTGTGTGTATCAGTATGGTTGTCAGTGTGTGTATCAGTATGGTTGTCAGTGTGTGTATCAGTATGGTTGTCAGTGTGTGTATCAGTATGGGTGTCAGTGTGTGTATCAGTATGGAGTGTCAGTCAGTATGGTTGTCAGTGTGTGTATCCGTATGGTTGTCAGTGTGTGTATCAGTATGGGTGTCAGTGTGGGTGTCAGTATGGCTGTCAGTGTGTGTATCAGTGTGGCTGTCAGTGTGTGTATCAGGTTGGCTGTCTGGCTGTCAGTGTGTGTATCAGTATGGGTGTCAGTATGGCTGTCAGTGTGTGTATCAGTATGGTTGTCAGTGTGTGTATCAGTATGGGTGTCAGTGTGGGTGTAAATGTGGGTGTCGATTAGGAAGTCGGTGTGGCTGTTGGTGTAGAAGTCGCTGCGGCAATGTATGTGCGTAAGCCTCTCTGTGTTTCACGTATCTTTTTAAGAGAAGCAGTAAGTTAAATTATTCCCTTCCGTGTGGTAGTATCTTACTTCAAGAGCACATTATATTTGTGTAAGGAGACTATTGCTGATCTAGACAAAAGGAGGACATATGTGACACATGGTGGGCTGAACATCAGCTAGCAGTGCACTCACTCACTCACTCACTCACCTCAATGACTGTCCTGGATGGGTTGTAGTCGTCAATTCCGACCCTCGGGGCCCACATGGCGTCCACCCAGAAGTCAGTCTGCACCTTCTTCAGTACCTCGTTCAGGTTCCAGTTGGACGCCCCCCACGTGCCCAGGACGTACCATCCTCCTAGAGGCTGCAGTACCTGCTGGATGAACGGCGTCCCCTTCAGCCTCTCTCGGCTGAAGTCATCCATGCACGACTGGAACAGGTGCTTCAGCTTCCTCTCCGACGCCCAGTCCGTGTTCCGCTTCACTGGTCTTTCCAATAATGTCTTGAGTTTCTCTTCATTTGAATCTAACATGTCTGTCAAGAAGGTGTGTGACGAGTGGTCGGCGTCCAGCTTGTGGAACACCTTGTAGTTGCCGCATGCGTAGTTGTAGAAGTTGTCGCAGGGTTTGGCGCTGAGGTTCATGCTTGACAGCGTGTAGCCTGTGCTCTCCAGACAGAGTTTGGTAAAACAGGTTTTGTCCACTTGATCTCCTTTGAGAGCCTGCACCTGAGCTCTCTCCTCGCTCTTTTTTGTACTTCCATACATCCCCGCGAATATCACAAACATCAGTACCGTCACAATCAATATACCTATGAGAACAACTTCACGGAAACCAAGTGAAAACCTCCTGACGAGGCCACCAATTCCCGGGACACCCTCTAACTTCTTCACATCCATCGTGAACAGGGCCACTGCAAGCACTGTGGATACCGATGCTGCTGTTTCGCAACGTCGACACGTCAGATGATGAAGTCGTACGCGAAGACACTGTCGTTCCTGTGCACGGGGTGGTGGAGCAGGTTACATTTCACGTGGGATGGGCGGTGTTGACTACAGCGACGTATTCAAAGTCCGGTTGTGGATGTATCGAGTAACCTTCTCTGCACATTGTCCTGACATTGTCGTACGATCTCAGGTATCGGATTCCGTCCAGGTACAATGTGAAGACTGTGGACACTAGACCGTGTACAAAAACGTTATCATATCATAATTGAAATATTTCTTTATTAATTTATTTCCGTCAAACATAATACATTGCAAATTGATTTTCACGATTTAACGATTGTACGGATTACATTTTCTAAGTACATTACAATTTCTAGTACTGTTTGGGTTTAGTTCCACCCTGGAGTCGAACTCCCCCATCGTCACATTGACCGCTCAGCCACCGCGGCTTCCACAGATATGGAAGCTCGAAACCTGGTAGTCTGGGCCATGTACTTTGTGCCTCTTCCTGACAGGTGAAAGTACTGAGTAGGCAAGGCTCCAACTGCCCAACGATATGATCTCATAACGCGTTCCAGAAAGTGGTCAAATGTAGAATAATGACTGTGGAAATTTATTCTGTGGAGGCGACGTTTCGACATAGATTCTAATGTGGTTGTCAAGCAAGTGACACATGAGTAACAAATTGAGAGAATATATGCATGAGTTGTTATTACATTGGATTGTAAAAACAACGCATTCCCTATCTAATGTAATAACAACTCAGGTATATATTCAACTCAACTTCTAAAATGAAGATGTTCAAATGTAGCAGATCCATTTGACCAGCTTCTAAAAGGCATCATCTGTTCATTTCTTATCTGAAGCAATGGTTGGTAGCAGTAAACACGTGGAGTGAAACAATAGACCTTTTTTATGTTTTTCACCGCAAGGATTCTGGCTTGTCTGAAGACACCTGTCTGTTGACTGCCGTGAGAGGTGCCATCAGAAGGGGTTTAACGTTCAACTACGGCTTCTTACCCCGACTGTCGCTGGCAGAGCATATTCAGTCGTATGCTCCGATGCTAAAATAGATACACCACTCAGACACCTCGATGTATCTCTGCTTAGTCCTTGGCCAAATATAAGAAATGTGCCTATCTTTTAGGATCTCACAGAAACGGTGAAAGTGTCATCCAGTAATATGGCAAAATACTTTACCTTAGATCTGAGTAAAACGGACTCTGTAATAAGAAATGAAACTCAGATTATTGCATGGGTACAGAATGGACATCATCTGGTGTTATATACAGAATGGACATCATCTGGTGTTATATACAGAATGGACATCATCTGGTGTTATATTATACTTCCTACCAAGTTCAATCATTAGATTAAATAGGATTGGAGCAATGGAATTTACAATGAGCAATGCGATAAGCATACACATTTTCCGATGATAGGTAGTTTTCATACATATGAAATTTGTTAGTGTGTCTATAAAACTTTAACTTAGAATACTGCCTAGGTTATCCAGTCCATGAATGTTTATGAATACCCACACATAATTGTTTGAACATGTTTCGACATCTTGCACTATCCAAGACAATCCAAATCCCATACTGAATAATAACTCCTTCATGTTAAGAGCCCACCAATCTATTACCTTATCTGCCAACTTATATTGATAAGAATATATGTAGCACTATCCTGCTGGTCAAGTATTACTGGTTAGTATAAATCTGGACTGTGAAACATGAATACATTTCTCCTGATTTTATTAGCCTATATTTCATGTCCTTTTATACTATTCTCCTTTTCTTTGGTAATATTACTGAGCTTTTTAGCAGACAATGTACATATTACTTTTATCATAACCTAACAAACTTTTAACACCCTTTCATACACTTAATGACTTTGTTTATTGTGTTCCTAGTATGTTTGTACTTTGTATATTGTCATTGTTTGTACATGGAATGAGAAGGGTTTCTTGTTCTAACGAGCTAAGTATGTACAAATATAACACAAACATGCCTGTTATATCAAACAATATTCAACACAACTCATGTTGAAAACAACACGTACATACTATGATTAAACTGTTATGAAACAGCGTTTGTAAAACGATTAACAGTGTCATTCAGTTTTGTGAATATTTCCTATAATAACTAGCATTCTGCTCCTCACTTTCTTTCCCAACTTCCAGTAGAGCTCAGCCTCTACACTGACTATCTGCTAAATATATATAGTCCACATTGTCTAATGGAGGGTGACAGGCACGGTGTCCTACACAGTTCAGCTATGCAGTGTGGGTGATAAGGCTCGGGGTATCATATTTCCTGATTTTGATGGCATCTCTAAATTTGGCCTAGGAGTATGAACTAGTACAAGGAAGTTCACACGCACGCACGCACGCACGCACGCACGCACGCACACGCACGCACGCACGCACGCACGCACACGGATGGTTAGTTTTTGCTGGTAATATGATTAACACCTTGTCCAATCCACACGCTCTGAATTGATATACACACCGTCCGTCTTGTTGACACGTGTATCCGGGCTCAGTTTGATACATTGTAAACAGAGTGACCGAACAACGTCCAAGTATTGTTTGTGTCTGCGTGTTTCAGTAGAAACATGTGGCGATCAGGTAGCCTGGTGGTTAGGGCGTGGTAGCCTGGTGGTTAGGGCCTGGTAGCCTGGTGGTTAGGGCGTGGTAGCCTAGTGTTTCAGGCGTGGTAGCCTGGTGGTTAGGGCGTGGTAGCCTGGTGGTTAGGGCGTGGTAGCCTGGTGGTTAGGGCGTGGTAGCCTGGTGGTTGGTGGTTCAGGCGTGGTAGCCTGGTAGCCTGGTAGCCTGGTTTTAGGGCGTGGTAGCCTGGTGGTTAGGGCGTGGTAGCCTGGTGTTTAGGGGCGGTAGCCTGGTGCTTAGAGGCGGTAGCCTGGCGTGGTAGCCTGGTGTTTTGGGGCGTGGTAGCCTGGTGGTTAGGGGCGTGGTAGCCTGGTGTTTCAGGCTGGTGCCTGGTGGTTAGGTGGGTAGCCTGGTGTTTCAGGGCGTGGTAGCCTGGTGTTTAGGGCGTGGTAGCCTGGTGGTTAGGGCGTGGTAGCCTGGTGGTTAGGGCGTGGTAGCCTGGTGTTTAGGGCGTGGTAGCCTGGTGGTTAGGGCGTGGTAGCCTGGTGTTTAGGGCGTGGTAGCCTGGTGGTTAGGGCGTGGTAGCCTGGTGCTTAGGGCGTGGTAGCCTGGTGGTTAGGGCGCGTGGGTAGGCGTGGTAGCCTGGTGGTTAGGGCGTGGTAGCCTGGTGGTTTAGGGCGTGGTAGCCTGGTGCCAGGTGGGCGTGGTAGCCTGGTGGTTAGGCGCGTGGTAGCCTGGTGGTAGCCTGGGCAGGGGTGGTAGCCTGGTGGTTAGGGCGTGGTAGCCTGGTGCTTGGTGGGCGTGGTAGCCTGGTGGTTAGGGGCGTGGTAGCCTGGTGGTTAGGGCGTGGTAGCCTGGCCTGGGGCGTGGTAGCCTGGTGCTTAGGGCGTGGTAGCCTGGTGCTTAAGGCGTGGTAGCCTGGTGGTTAGGGCGTGGTAGCCTGGTGGTTAGGGCGTGGTAGCCTGGTGCTTTAGGGCGTGGTAGCCTGGTGCTTAGGGCGTGGTAGCCTGGTGGTTAGGCGGTAGCCTGGTGGTTAGGGCGTGGTAGCCTGGTGCTTAGGGCGTGGTAGCCTGGTGCTTAGGGCGTGGTAGCCTGGTGGTTAGGGCGTGGTAGCCTGGTGGTTAGGGCATGGCAGCCTGGTGCTTAGGGCGTGGTAGCCTGGTGCTAAGGGCCTGGTAGCCTGTTGGTTAGGGCGTGGTAGCCTGTTGGTTAGGGCGTGGTAGCCTGGTGCTTAGGGCGTGGTAGTCTGGTGCTTAGGGCGTTGTAGCCTGGTGCTTAGGGCGTGGTAGCCTGGTGCTTAGGGCGTGGTAGCCTGGTTGTTGGGCGTGGTAGCCTGGTTTTTAGGGCGAGGTAGCCTGGTGCTTAGAGGCGGTAGCCTGTTGGTTAAGGTGTGGTAGCTGGGCTTTAGGGTGTGGTAGCCTAGTGGTTAGGCCGTGGTAACTGGCTGTCAAGGCGTAGTAGCTGATGGTTAGGGCATTGTAGCCGGTGGTTTGGATGTGGTAGTTGGTAGTTATGGTGTGGTAACTGGTGGTTAGGGTGTGGTAGTCTGTTTGGTAGAGCGTGGTAGTCTGGTAGTTAGGGCGTGGTAGTCTGGTGGTTAGGGCGTGGTAGTCTGGTAGTTAGAGCGTGATAGTTTGTGGTTAGGGCGTGGTAGACTGGTGGTTAAGGCATGGTAGTCTGGTGGTTAGGGCGTGGTAGTCTGGTGGTTAGGGCGTGGTAGCCTGGTAGTTAGAGCGTGATAGTTGGTAGTTAGGGCGTGGTAGTCTGATGGATAAGACATGGTAGTCTGGTAGTTAGAGCATGATAGTTGGTGGTTAGGGCGTGGTAGACTGGTGGTTAAGGCATGGTAGTCTGGTGGTTAGGGCGTGGTAGTCTGGTGGTTAGGGCGTGGTACACTGGTAGTTAGAGCGTTATAGTTGGTTGTTAGGGCGTGGTAGTCTGGTAGTTAGTAGTGGGGCGGTAGCGTGATAGGCAGTAGACTGGTGGTTAGGGCGTAGTAGACTGGTTAGGGCGTGGTTAAGGGCATGGTAGTCTGGTTAGGCGTGGTAGACTGGTGGTTAGGGCGTAGACTGTAGTCTGGTAGTTAGGGCGTGGTAGACTGGTGGTTAGGGCGTGGTAGACTGGTAGTTAGGCGTGGTATAGTTGGTGGTTAGGGCGTGGTAGACTGGTGGTTAAGGCATGGTAGTCTGGTGGTTAGGGCGGTAGACTGGTGGTTATGTAGACTGATAAGGCATGGTAGTCTGGTGGTTAGGGCGTGGTAGTCTGATGGTTAAGGGTATGGTAGTCTGGTGGTTAGGGCGTGGTAGTCTGGTAGTTAGAGCGTGATAGTTGGTGGTTAGGGCGTGGTAGACTGGTTAGAGCGTAGAGCGTGATAGCTGGTAGTTAGGGCGGGTAGACTGGTGGT